ATGCTCTCTTTGCTGTATGAACACCTGAAAAAAAAGAAACCAAAATCTCCATTTCTATTTATCTGAAATTATTATTTTTGGGGTTGTTTTGTTTTTTTGGTTGTGCCGATAGACAACTTGGTGTGTCTGATCCGTTTGCTTTTTGGGATGGCTGTGTCCCAGTGGTAGAGTTGGTTGTCTCTCAAACGGTAGGTCAGGGGTTCGATCCCCAGCTCCTGCAGTCACATGTCGACGGGTCCTTGGGCAAGACACTGAACCCCAGATTGCGCCCGCATCCGGAGCATATGAATGTGTATGATGGGATTAGTCAATACTTATAGACACTTTACATTGCAGCTTCTGCCATCCGTGTGTGAGTGTGAATGGATAGGTGTGACCTGCCGTGTAAAAAGTGTTTCGAGAAGACTAGAAAAGCGCTATACAAGCTCCATTTCCTTGTTTATAATTGACTCATCCCAGCTTTACTAAGAACTGTAAAAACTGTATTTCTCAGCTTTTATGAGTGTTTTATTAACAGCCTGTCTATGACTGACACATGATACTTTGTTGTTTGTAGCTTAAAACGTTCATTAAATGTGATCTGGCTCAAACTTATGGCATAAAAAATGGCAAGACTTCCTACACTTGAAGTCAAAATTATTTTTTAAATATAGCCTGTAGTTTAATAATGCAGCACCTTTTTCACCATCCTTTGTAAAAGTAGCAGGCAACACTTCAGTCATTGTACAGACCTTTCAGATATCATGATTGGGAATCTCATTGGGTGGGGTGGAGGGGGTGCAAGGTAAGATCAAACCCCATCCTTCGTTTGAGATCTGATCATGAACCAGCTTTGAAACAACCATAATCAATATTTTAATCATATCCTAGTGTCAAATAACAATGTGTAAAAGGGCCACTAGTTCTGATGAACCTACAAAGAATACTTAAGGTTCTGCAGACACTATGAGCTGGATATGGGTGTAACAGACAGGAGTAGTCTGGTAATGAAGGCAGTACAAGCCCTGCAATTTCTCTAGATAGTCGACAGGCGTCTGGAACTATTGAGAAGTTAAATTCCACAAACTGCATTGTTGCTCTGATTCTATCATTTCTCAGGAGGAGGGCTTGGGTGTCTTATTACGGCTTGCTTTGCATGCCACCAGTTTCTTTACAATGGTAATGTTTGTGTGTGTTGTCAGACTACAGTGGGAGATAAAGGAGTCAAAAGAGGACACACGCAATGGACCCATTAATCATGCATGTGTCTGCCTTTCGAGGGATTGAGAGACAGAACATTCAAAGTAAACAGGGAAGACTTTGCACCAATAAGCTGAAAACACATGTAACCAAAATTACATGCAAGTCATACTGACCACTAGAGTCCATTCCTACGGATAGGAAATTACAGTTGTTACAGAAAATAGGAATTACATGATTTAAAAAAAATGGAAAAAGAAAAACAGCTTTCCTTTTTTTGATATTTGACTTTTTTATTTTTACAATGAAATTGTATAAACATACTGTATGGACAATGCTGCAACTATTTATGTCTCATGAGAGTAAAACTAAACACTTGTGTAGCTAAAGTTGTATTTTGTTATATGTATGGAATGCATAAATACACTTAAACAAATGTGGTAAAAACTAAAAAACACCATCTTCCGTGGTTATAATAGCCGGACAGCAAAGGCAGTGACTTCCTAAAGAATTTACACACAGTCACTCCCCGAAACAAACACACACAGCTGCTTCTTCACAACCACTACCACAAGCTCTAACAGCAAGCCAGCTGCAGAACAACAAGGAAGAAATGAGTCGGGGTGTGGTTTCCTACTCTAGGGCTGCTGGCCTGGCTGTGCTGCCTCAGTCTGGGGCCCGTTCAGGGGGGGAAGGTGCTGGTTTTGCCTGTTGATGGAAGCCACTGGCTTAGCATGAAGCTACTGGTGAAAGAGCTCAACCAGAGGGGCCATGAGGTCTTGGTGCTGGTGCCGGATAGCAGCCTGTTGATCCACAGCTCAGAGAGCTTCAAGACTGAGGTTTACCCAGTGTCCTTTACAAAAGCTGACCTGGATGGACGATTCGAACAGCTGACGGAGGGACTATTTCTCAAGCCACCACAAATGACAGACATCTTTCTCAATGTACAGCGTTTGGTCAACTTTACATCATTACAGGTGGAGGGTTGTGAGAGTTTGCTGAACAACCAGACTTTGATGAGTCGGCTGAGGGTAGGGGGCTTTGATCTTGTGCTTACTGACCCCTTCCTTCCCTGCGGCTCCATCCTGGCTCATCTCCTTTCCATTCCAGCTGTTTATTTCCTGCGTGAACTTCCATGTGGACTGGATACAAAGGCAAACCAATGCCCGTCTCCTCCCTCCTACGTTCCTGCAGCCTTCTCTGGCAATACAAACATCATGACCTTCCCACAAAGAGTCAAAAACATGCTCATGTCTGGTGTGGAGTCCTACGTGTGCAGAATAATCTACAGCAACTTTGACGATCTAGTCAGCAGGCATTTAGAAGAAAAGATGACCTACAAGGAACTTATTAGTTATGGTGCTATATGGCTTCACAGATATGACTTCACATTTGAATGGCCTAAACCTATCATGCCAAACATGGCTTTTATTGGAGGTATCAATTGTGCAAAGAAGGCTCCTCTGCCAGCGGTGAGTAGTAAGAATGTATGCCAGAGTAAACATCTGTGATCACTTAAGACAAATCACTCATACTCACTCTGTGTTGAGTCAGGCTAAGAGCAGGCTCACACGTGCAAATCTTATGATAAATTATTATTATTATCTGGTTCACTTTCATTCTATGAGTGAAGAAGATAAAACATTCACATTTAATGGCAAATAAATCATGAATCATCACTTAACATAGCAATTCATAGTAATCAACCACTTTATGAAAATATATGCTAATATGCTATTTTCAGTTAATTCTCCAAGATTAAAACAGATGTAAAAAGAAAGTGCCAGTGTCCTTTGACAACAATTGTGTGTTTTGAACTACATTAACATACAAAACTACGTCAGATTATAAATAAGAAAATTAAAGGAACTTCCAGGATAACATTTTTTTTACATCATTTGTTGATGTAGGTCATTGCTAACAATATATTAGGAAAACAAATGTGTGGCAACAGCTTACAATAGAAGTGTGGCAATAGCTGCAACTTAAAAATATGTTGGCGGGTATTGAACCATGTCCACTAGATATTGTATTAAATGAACATAAATCCATAAACATTACGAGCTGAGTTTTTTAATGTCATTTTTCTGTGTTTCTGATTCTCCCTGCAGGAAATAAAGGAGTTTGTGGATGGCTCTGGAGACGATGGGTTCATTGTCTTTACCTTAGGCTCAATGGTGTCCAACATGCCAGAGGAGACAGCGAAACAGTTCTTTGAGGCCTTCCGGCAACTGCCTCAAAGGGTAACGATAAATAAAAATGATTCACCTCACAGATTCAATCAAACAGCCTTAGTCTAACCAGTCAATGTTGACTTTGCTAACTTTTGTTAGACTTCTATTTACACTCTTCAAATAAAACACTCAAGGCAAACACAGATTGGCCAGAGAGTTTTCCACACTCAGCATAAACTAAAGACCGAATCAGTTTTAACCATAGGACTTTGTTCCCTGTCCTACCTTGTTGTAAGTCTGCAAAATTCTATTTTCATTGCAAAAAGAGTTTACACATAACACGTTACAAATATTAAAAGTTATTATTAATGTTATGTTAAGTTAGTATTCGTTATATTGACGGTTATTATTTATGATTCAGGTATTGTGGAGATACACTGGAGTCCCACCTAAGGATGCACCCAAGAATGTCAAACTTATGAAGTGGTTACCTCAGAATGACCTCCTCGGTATGCAATCTTTTATCCAGACAGTTGTGTTAGGAGCATACATAAATCACAACATTCAGACTAATTCAAGTTGATTCTAACAAATGTACCTGCAATGGGCGTGCGGTTGCATGGATCTTTAATTGTGTCTATTCCTTCTCAGCCCATCCCAAAGCCAAAGTCTTCATCACTCATGGAGGAACCCATGGCATCTATGAAAGCATCTGTAATGCAGTGCCCATGTTGATGTTTCCACTGTTCGGGGACCAGAGTGACAATGTAAACCGCCTGGTGGCGCACGGTGTTGCAGAGAGACTTGGTATTTATGACGTGACCACTGAAAAACTATTGACTGCCCTAAAGAACATCATCCGTGACAAAAGGTAAGATCATAAAATGTTAATGCACAGGAACATATTGTTTTGCCCCGAGCTTTTCTGGAACATATTGAGTGAATTTCCATCCCCAGTTATTCAACACACCAATCATCTGTAATCCTGAATCTTTTTACATCCCTGTTAACAAGCCGTCAGCATTCCTCTCCCTCTTTTCTTGGCACTTGTCAACCCATTAAAGATCATTTGAATAACTGAATCTGTCGACACAACTGTATGCACATGTGCACCTGATAAATGAAGTGGCCCCAAATGCAGAAAAAAAGAAATTCTATAATGAAAAGACAACTCCACATTAAACATTTAAGAACCCAATGAACCAACATTATTTGGAAAAAAAACAATGCCCTAATTTCTTTATATTTGATTATTACGTCATTCTTCTTTAAAAAAAAGCATTTGTTTGACTCACACACTTCTGCTCACACCTCTTATCTGGGCCATGTGGGTGTATTTAAAGGGCCCATATTATGCTTTTTCTGGTTTTATATGCTCTTTACTGTGTTTTCCAAGTGTGCTGTGCATGTTTAGGCACATCTATGTGCAAAAATTCAAAGTCTGCGGAAACGCCACTTCTCCTACGTCCTCTTGTTAGTTGTAGCATTAGCTGCATTTAACGCTCGGTTCTAGCCCCCCTCGAAAAAAATTATCAGTGTGACGTCTTGTCAATGTGAGGTCACTGATGTAAGCCCATTGGCTCGTTGTGGCAAGCCCAGCAGCTCATGTTGCAGGCCCTTTAACTTCTGTAGCACGCCCACGTTATGCCGTAGCCTGCGGTAGCACAGTAGTGCTAAGGTGCTAATGTTTTTGCTCTCCGGCCCTCGGAGCCAGAGTGGCAGAGCGGCTGACCAATTACGGCAGAGCCGACAGGCCGACCAATCAGATCAGACTTGGCACACGTGGGGACTCTGAACGTGGGCACTTCAGAGCCTTAGGGCGCGGTCACACTGGCCATCTGTACCGTGCTGTACCCAAGCACGATTGCCTGCCCACAGCGCCAGTCCCCCGCTGGCCGGTGCCCCGCGGTCACACTACACAGGACTATCCGTGCCTAAGCACGATTACCTCTTGTACATAATGTCGTAATACAACACATGCACGCTTTATGTTATTATGAAGCGTGCTCAGTTTACAAACAGGCGGACGAGAGAGAGAGGAAAAAAAGAGACGCGCAGTCGAGTCCGCGTCTGCACATCAGACAAAAACACAGAACATGACTTTACAGCTTATTTTAAGCCATTTTAATCAGACACAGCAATAAATAAAATATATATTTTTTAAACTGATTAATTAATGTGCGGGCGTCTGCACAGACTCACGCGCGGACTCGGCCGATGCTCGCACATTGGAGAACAACACAGAGCATGACAGCTACTTTGTGTCTTATATTGAGTCATTTTAGTCAGATACAGCCATCAAACTCTGGATTTCTGCATAATGAAGGCTGTCAGCGTTGTGTACCAGCGTGATTGTGCTGTGCATGAAGTGTACCGTGCCGAAGCACACCTCTCCGAAGTGTGCCAAAGCCAAGGAAGTGTACCGTGCCTGAGCACGATACGGAGCGGTCACACTGGTCAAACGAACTGGACTTTAGCGTTGAAGCGTGCTTGGGCACGGTACGGATGGCCAGTGTGACCGTGCCCTTAGAGAGAGAGTCAGAAGCGAGCCAGTGCATAGAGCGGCAGTACATGAAAACATCAAATTTTAGCTATTTTGAACATACTTTAGTCGGTACATAGATTAAATATACAAACCCCAAAAAGGGCATAATATGGGCTCTTTAAACTGTGCTTGATTCACTTAATCAGTTTTAATATTAACACTGTTAAAGAGGTGCACTGTAAAGTTTCATCAAACAAACAAAAGCTGTGTTTACATTCAGTGTCTTTTAAGGAAATAGTTTACTTTAGAGTTAAAAATATGTTGCATGCATTTCCTTTAACATTTACAAAGTTGTTTTTTAAATCTTTTAAATTCCACTGTGGTAATACCCTAGTGTGCTCTCTAGGGTCACTTATTTATTGCTATGTTGTTTTATTATTGCTTTGTTTGCTAACAGGCTATCACCATCAGCTATCAATCTGCAGAGTAGCTTGAAACTATGCACATGTTTGGGACTATTGACATATTGACCACTAGCACCCTCTATTGTTTGAAAACTCCAGAGACGACCCTTTGAATTATAAGGCAACTTACACATTCATTAGGCTCAGTGGTTCATGGAGTCTGGTTACCTCATAATTCTTAAAAACTCCATCCATCGTTGACCTGCAAGATGGCTAAAAATGTCTAATGAAATGCCCTGTAAAGCAGTACAAAGTCTTTAAAATGGCCAATTATCAAAACCTTTGTTTCATCTTTTTAATTTTTAATTTTTAAGACTTTACTGTTTTAGTATTGTTGTAGTTTAAATGTTTCAGAGCATCTTTTAATCATTATTCCCCATCTCTGCAGTTACAAAGAGAAGATAGTGAAGATGTCTGAGATACACCTGGACCGTCCCGTTCAGCCTCTGGAGCTTGCTGTTTTCTGGACTGAATTTGTCATGCGACACAAAGGAGCCTCACATCTAAGAGTTGCTGCACATGAATTGAACTGGATTCAATACCATTGCTTGGATGTCATCGGCTTTTTACTCATGATTCTCTTTACTGTTCTGTGGGTAACGCTCAAATGCTGCATGTTCTGCTTTAAAAAGTGTTGCAGAAGGGAGAGTGCAAAGAAGAAGAAACAGTAGAGGTTTTGTAATTCAACTTTCACACTTTTTTTAAAAATTCTGTAATGAAGCAAAAAATGAATGTTAAAACTTGACATAGCTTTTCACTCTGGTGTACTGTATTGTGACGTTCACTGAAGAGTGATTGTACAGAATGGTTTAAATGTGTCTATATGTGCATTGTACTGGTGCATTACCTTTTTCAGGTTGTCTATAACATATATGTAACATAATGCCAAAAGCCATCCTCTGTTAAAATAACAGTTTTAATTTTTGTGGTGTGTCAGATTTATGTCTGATTGAGATTTCTTTCTCGCCGTTGTATCAGCTGAATGTAAAGGGTCTATGTACCCTTATTGTATTTAATTTGGTTGGCTGGGGCAGCTATTCTTTTCCATAATTATTGTATTAATACGATGATTCACTTCTATAGATATATGATTAAAAAAAAGTGAGACATAACCCCTCAATCATGCATACTGTGAAAAAAATGCCTGAGTCCAGTGGCACATTGTTAGGAAAGTGGGAAAACATCTGTAAGACATGGCAGTCATGCTTATCATCACATTTCTACAATGTATAAATGTAGAAACCACACCTTTTGTAACTTCTAACACTATTCTTTTGTCTCAGCATGACTCTGCAGATACTTTTTATGGTAAAATTGGTCACAGGGTTTATGACTGACATTAGATTAACCCTGAACTCTGATCCCTGATATTGTGCTGCTAACAATTTATGAAGTGCACTTCACCTGTATAAAGATAAATGTTGCTTGATAGCATTGTGTAACGGATTCATTTGTATTTGTCTATAGATAACCTTTATATTATTAATCAGGGTTTTTAAGGCTCCATAAAAGAATCAGTAAACTAGTGAATTGCATTCAACTGGATTTACACTTCAAAATCTGGGATAAAAAAAATGGTGGAAATCCCCACACACATCTGTATAACACCATCAAATTGATAGAGAAAGACAATATTCATAGTTTAACAGATCATAATATATGCTGTGGTCAGAGCTTAAATGTGAAATGGTACACCTTCGTGTACAGACAGATGATCCTCAGGTTGGCTTTGGATGGTACAATAAAGCAATAGAAAAGACCCACATGAGGGGGCTTTATGACTTTTGCACCACCATCTGGTTAAAAAGTATAATCACTTAATAGTTTGCAGCAACAACAAAACTTCACTTACACTAGAGATTTGCATGGAATGCTCTCTTTGCTGTATGAACATTTATCTGAAATTATTATTTTTGGGGTTGTTTTGTTTTTTTGGTTGTGCCGATAGACAACTTGGTGTGTCTGATCCGTCTGCTTTTTGGGATTGCTGTGTCCCAGTGGTAGAGTTGGTTGTCTCTCAAATGGAAGGTCAGGGGTTCGATCCCCAGCTCCTGCAGTCACATGTCGACGGGTCCTTGGGCAAGACACTGAACCCCAGATTGCGCCCGCATCTGGAGCATATGAATGTGTATGATGGGATTAGTCAATACTTATAGACACTTTACATTGCAGCTTCTGCCATCCGTGTGTGAGTGTGAATGGATAGGTGTGACCTGCCGTGTAAAAAGTGTTTCGAGAAGACTAGAAAAGCGCTATACAAGCTCCATTTCCTTGTTTATAATTGACTCATCCCAGCTTTACTAAGAACTGTAAAAACTGTATTTCTCAGCTTTTATGAGTGTTTTATTAACAGCCTGTCTATGACTGACACATGATACTTTGTTGTTTGTAGCTTAAAACGTTCATTAAATGTGATCTGGCTCAAACTTATGGCATAAAAAATGGCAAGACTTCCTACACTTGAAGTCAAAATTATTTTTTAAATATAGCCTGTAGTTTAATAATGCAGCACCTTTTTCACCATCCTTTGTAAAAGTAGCAGGCAACACTTCAGTCATTGTACAGACCTTTCAGATATCATGATTGGGAATCTCATTGGGTGGGGGGTGGAGGGGGTGCAAGGTAAGATCAAACCCCATCCTTCCGTTTGAGATCTGATCATGAACCAGCTTTGAAACAACCATAATCAATATTTTAATCATATCCTAGTGTCAAATAACAATGTGTAAAAGGGGCCACTAGTTCTGATGAACCTACAAAGAATACTTAAGGTTCTGCAGACACTATGAGCTGGATATGGGTGTAACAGACAGGAGTAGTCTGGTAATGAAGGCAGTACAAGCACCTGCAATTTCTCTAGATAGTCGACAGGCGTCTGGAACTATTGAGAAGTTAAATTCCACAAACTGCATTGTTGCTCTGATTCTATCATTTCTCAGGAGGAGGGCTTGGGTGTCTTATTACGGCTTGCTTTGCATGCCACCAGTTTCTTTACAATGGTAATGTTTGTGTGTGTTGTCAGACTACAGTGGGAGATAAAGGAGTTCAAAAGAGGACACACGCAATGGACCCATTAATCATGCATGTGTCTGCCTTTCGAGGGATTGATAGACAGAACATTCAAAGTAAACAGGGAAGACTTTGCACCAATAAGCTGCAAACACGTGTAACCAAAATTACATGCAAGTCATACTGACCACTAGAGTCCATTGCTATTGATAGGAAATTACAGTTGTGACAGAAAATAGGAATTACATGATTTAAAAAAAAATGGAAAAAGAAAAACAGCTTTCCTTTTGTTTGATATTTGACTTTTTTATTTTTGACAATGAAATTGTATAAACATACTGTATGGACAATGCTGCAACTATTTATGTCTCATGAGAGTAAAACTAAACACTTGTGTAGCTAAAGTTGTATTTTGTTATATGTATGGAATGCATATTAATACACTTAAACAAATGTGGTAAAAACTAAAAAACACCATCTTCTGGTGGTTACATAATAGCAGGACAGCAAAGGCAGTGACTTCCTAAAGAATTTACACACAGTCACTCCCCGAAACAAACACACACAGCCGCTTCTTTACAACCACTACCACAAGCTCTAACAGCAAGCCAGCTTGCAGAACAACAAGGTAGAAATGAGCGTCGGGGTGTGGTTTCCTACTCTAGGGCTGCTGGCCTGGCTGTGCTGCCTCAGTCTGGGGCCCGTTCAGGGGGGGAAGGTGCTGGTTTTGCCTGTTGATGGAAGCCACTGGCTTAGCATGAAGATACTGGTGAAAGAGCTCAACCAGAGGGGCCATGAGGTCTTGGTGCTGGTGCCGGATAGCAGCCTGTTGATCCACAGCTCAGAGAGCTTCAAGACTGAGGTTTACCCAGTGTCCTTTACAAAAGCTGACCTGGATGGACGATTCGAACAGCTGACGGAGGGACTATTTCTCAAGCCACCACAAATGACAGACATCTTCCTCAATGTACAGCGTTTGGTCAGCTTTACATCATTACAGGTGGAGGGTTGTGAGAGTTTGCTGAACAACCAGACTTTGATGAGTCGGCTGAGGGTAGGGGCTTTGATCTTGTGCTTACTGACCCCTTCCTTCCCTGCGGCTCCATCCTGGCTCATCTCCTTTCCATTCCAGCTGTTTATTTCCTGGGTGGACTTCCATGTGGACTGGATACAAAGGCAAACCAATGCCCTCTCCTCCCTCCTACGTTCCTGCAGCCTTCTCTGGCAATACAAACATCATGACCTTCCCACAAAGAGTCAAAAACATGCTCATGTCTGGTGTGGAGTCCTACATGTGCAGAATAATCTACAGCAACTTTGACGATCTAGTCAGCAGGCATTTAGAAGAAAAGATGACCTACAAGGAACTTATTAGTTATGGTGCTATATGGCTTCTCAGATATGACTTCACATTTGAATGGCCTAAACCTATCATGCCAAACATGGCTTTTATTGGAGGTATCAATTGTGCAAAGAAGGCTCCTCTGCCAGCGGTGAGTAGTAAGAATGTATGCCAGAGTAAACATCTGTGATCACTTAAGACAAATCACTCATACTCACTCTGTGTTGAGACAGGCTAAGAGCAGGCTCACACGTGCAAATCTTATGATAAATTATTGAATCATCACTTAACATAGTAATTGAATTTGGTTAACTCTGACCTGCAAAGTTTCAACCAACTTCAAATGAGTGTGTGGAAGTAAGAAACCTAAAGATCATGAATCATCACTTAACATAGCAATTCATAGTAATCAACCACTTTATGAAAATATATGCTAATATGATATTTTTTCAGTTAATTCTCCAAGATTAAAACAGATGTAAAAAGAAAGTGCCAGTGTCCTTTGACAACAATTGTGTGTTTTGAACTACATTAACATAAAAAGCTACGTCAGATTATAAATAAGAAAATTAAAGGAACTTCCAGGATAACATTTTTTTTTACGTCATTTGTTGATGTAGGTCATTGCTAACAATATATTAGGAAAACAAATGTGTGGCAACAGCTTTACAATAGAAGTGCGGCAATAGCTGCAACTTAAAAATATGTTGGCGGGTATTGAACCGTGTCCACTAGATATTGTATTAAATGAACATAAATCCATAAACATTACGAGCTGAGTTTTTTTTTCTGTGTTCTGATTCTCCCTGCAGGAAATAAAGGAGTTTGTGGATGGCTCTGGAGACGACGGGTTCATTGTCTTTACCTTAGGCTCGATGGTGTCCAACATGCCAGAGGAGACAGCTAAACAGTTCTTTGAGGCCTTCCGGCAACTGCCTCAAAGGGTAACGATAAACTAAAAATGATTCACCTCACAGATTCAATCAAACAGCCTTAGTCTAACCAGTCAATGTTGACTTTGCTAACTTTTGTTAGACTTCTATTTACACTCTTCAAATAAAACACTCAAGGCAAACACAGATTGGCCAGAGAGTTTTCCACACTCAGCATAAACTAAAGACCTAATCAGTTTTAACTATAGGACTTTGTTCCCTGTCCTACCTTGTTGTAAGTCTGCAAAATTCTATTTTCATTGCAAAAAGAGTTTACACATAACATGTTACAAATATTAAAAGTTATTATTAATGTTATGTTAAGTTAGTATTCGTTATATTGACGGTTATTATTTATGATTCAGGTATTGTGGAGATACACTGGAGTCCCACCTAAGGATGCACCCAAGAATGTCAAACTTATGAAGTGGTTACCTCAGAATGACCTCCTCGGTATGCAATCTTTTATCCAGACAGATGTGTTAGGAGCATACATAAATCACAACATTCAGACTAATTCAAGTTGATTCTAACAAATGTACCTGCAATGGGCGTGCAGTTGCATGGATCTTTAATTGTGTCTACTCCTTCTCAGCCCATCCCAAAGCCAAAGTCTTCATCACTCATGGAGGAAGCCACGGCATGTATGAGGGCATCTGTAATGCAGTGCCCATGTTGATGTTTCCACTTTTCGGGGACCAGGGTGACAATGTAAACCACATGGTGGCGCACGGTGTTGCGGAGAGACTTGGTATTTATGACGTGACCACTGAAAAACTATTGGCTGCCCTAAAGAACATCATCCGTGACAAAAGGTAAGATCATAAAATGTTAATGCACAGGAACATATTGTTTTGACCGAGCTTTTCTGAACATATTGAGTGAATTTCCATCCCTAGTTATTCAACACACCAATCATCTGTAATCCTGAATCTTTTTACATCCCTGTTAACAAGCCGTCAGCATTCCTCTCCCTCTTTTCTTGGCACTTGTCAACCCATTAAAGATCATTTGAATAACTGAATCTGTCGACAGAACTGTATGCACATGTGCACCTGATAAATGAAGTGGCCCCAAATGCAGAAAAAAATATTTCTACAATGAAAAGACAACTCCACATTAAACATTTAAGAACCCAATGAACCAACATTATTTGGAAAACAAACAATGCCCTAATTTCTTTATATTTAATTATTACTTCATCTTAAAAATCTTGTTTGACTCTGTTGTGGATTTTTCTGTTGGTAATGAAATATCTCAAGTCTTTTGTCTTTGTGCATTTTATTGCATACAGTAAAAAGTTATTTTACAAAAGGGGTAATCAGCTACAAAAGTAACATCAGTCACAAGTGCATCAAAGATTCCCAGGGCAGTCCCGGTTGCAGAGCATATTTATACTTTCAAAGGGTGTAGGTATTTTGCATATATATGAGTGATACATCGTCATTGGTTTCAGCTTTCCCTAGCGACTACGCCTTCTGCTAGTTTGCCTGGTGATTTATCTATGCAAGCTTCTTTCTATAAGGTACCTGGTACGGAGGAACACCAACAGAAACTCCTTTGTCAGGAGTCACTGTCACTGATTTAGGGTCATGCTGTACCCAGATCCTGAGGAGTGTTCCTGTTGGAGATACAGACCAAGGTGTTGGGGTTGTATCAAGTCAATGAATTAGTCAAACTAGTTCATTAAGAAAGTCGCCCTGACTGCATCATTATGTTCAACAACATACAACACAAACTAAGCCACAGCTTGCTGTCCGTTTTGAATAAACAAGCAAGAAAAGTCTTCAAAAGAAAAGACAATTTTTTCTCAAGAAAAATCTCTTTTAGGATTAAAAATTCGGATTACTGTGCGTTTACAGTGCAATGAAGCTGGTTTATTGAAGACCTCACACGGGGCACCATTTGTTGGGGTTGTATCAAGTCAACTTTGGTTATATTCTTTAATAATTATATTTAATTATTAATAATATAAAATATCATTAAACTACATTTAATCTCGTTTTGGGGCACCAACCTGTACTCAGGTATAGTTTGAGCTCTCTGAGCTGAGTTCAGTAACTTAAACTTGCTACTTAAACACCAGAAAGCCAGTGGCCGGACTTTGATTCAACAGCGGGTACACTGTTCTTTCTGATTGTGAAAGCCGTTGACTGAAGGTAAACTAGCATAGCATTACATACACAGGCGAACACAGCAGTTCATTACAATAAAACAAATGCAGTAGCTTACAACAGATAATAAACAGAATGTGACGTGTCGTCAACAATGATTCATAATTATCAGTGGTTATAAAAGAAACATAACTATTTCCGAAACTATTTCTGCCCAGACCAAAGCTCTTACTTGGGGTAACTCCTGGTGATCGTTGCAAAGTTGGTTAGATCGTCACTCTGTTGAATGTTAAATCAACAGATTCAGGCAGGTTTCCTTCATGGCAGATGTAGGAGGAGGGTAGCGGGATTCAGATCTTCAACCAGAGTACTGCTCTGTGGTCTTCTGGTTGTAGGAGCCGAGTTCTTTGTGTGTCCTTGTGGATTCAGGGATCAGTGGGCTTCCTTCAGCGCTCCTGTCCAGTTGCGTTCAATGACGTCTTACAAAAAATCAAAGAAAAATAAACTCTTCTTTTTGCTCGAACCTGATAGCATCTGATTGCGCCCAAAACTCCTAAAAATATGCTGTGGAAGTAGTCAGCTGAAGCCTCTGATGCTTGAATTCATGCTTGGAGTTTAATCTATGTAAGTCAAGAGGAGGAAAGGCTTTGTCTCGAATGCTGGAGTCCATCTTGTTAGAGAGGAACACTTGAAGAGAAGGAAGCAATGCCTGGCGATTGCTTTTAAAGACTGGAGCTGCCTGTGGGTTTACCTCAGGCCTCCTCCAATGAGGATAGAGAATTCAGACACCCCCCACCCCCCACTTTTCACATCTATTTGTTAGTTTCTGTTGGGGGGTTGCTGGGCTAAGACCCCTTTCTTTAGTTCCCTCCAAAATTCTCTAGTCAGGCTTGAGAACTGTGATACAGGCCTGAGTCCTTTGTCGCACACAGCTGAGGCCCAACAAAGGCCATGAAAGGCCATTACATGAAAACATAAACGTTTTTCGAATTTTAGCTATTTTGAACATACTTTAGTAGGTACATACATTAAATACACGAACCCCAAAAAGGGCATAATATGGGCTCTTTAAACTGTGCTTGATTCACTTCATCAGTTTTAATATTAACACTGTCAAAGAGGTGTACTGTAAAGTTTCATCAAACAAACAAAAGCTGTGTTTACATTCAGTGTCTTTTAAGAAAATAGTTTCCTTTAGAGTTAAAAATATGTTGCATGCATTTCCTTTAACATTTACAAAGTTGTTTTTTAAATCTTTTAAATTCCACTGTGGTAATACCCTAGTGTGCTCTCTAGGGTCACTTATTTATTACTATGTTGTTTTATTATTGCTTTGTTTGCTAACAGGCTATCACCATCAACTATCAATCTGCAGAGTAGCTTGAAACTATGCACATGTTTGAGACTATTGACATATTGACCACTAGCACCCTCTATTGTTTGAAAACTCCAGAGACGACCCTTTGAATATAAGGCAACTTACACATTCATTAGGCTCAGTGGTTCATGGAGTCTGGTTACCTCATAATTCTTACAAAACTCCATCCATCGTTGACCTGCAAGATGGCTAAAAATGTCTAATGAAATGCAAAGAGCAGTACAAAGTCTTTAAAATTACCAATTATAAAAACCTTTGTTTCATCTTTTTAATTCTTAATTTTTAAGACTTTACTGTTTTAGTATTGTTGTAGTTTAAATGTTTCAGAGCATCTTTTAATCATTATATCCCCATCTCTGCAGTTACAAAGAGAAGATAGTGAAGATGTCTGAGATACACCTGGACCGTCCCGTTCAGCCCCTGGAGCTTGCTGTTTTCTGGACTGAATTTGTCATGCGACACAAAGGAGCCTCACATCTAAGAGTTGCTGCACATGAATTGAACTGGATTCAATACCATTGCTTGGATGTCATCGGCTTTTTACTCATGATTCTCTTTACTGTTCTGTGGGTAACGCTCAAATGCTGCATGTTCTGCTTTAGAAAGTGTTGCAGAAGGGAGAGTGCAAAAAAGAAGAAACAGTAGAGGTTTTGTAATTCACACTTTTTTAATTCTGTAATGAAGCAAACAATGAATGTTAAAACTTGACAATAGCTTTTCACTCTGGTGTACTGTATTGTGACGTTCACTGAAGAGTGATTGTACAGAATGGTTTAAATGTGTCTATATGTGCATTGTACTGGTGCATTACCTTTTTCAGGTTGTCTATAACATATATGTAACATAATGCCAAAAGCCATCCTCTGTTAAAATAACTTTCAAACACACTTTTAAACATATGCAATTGATTGGAGTTTTAATTTTTGTGGTGTCAGATTTATGTCTGATTGAGATTTATTTCTCTCTGTTGTATAAGCTGAATGTAAAGGGTCTATGTACCCTTATTGTATTTAATTTGGTTGGCTGGGGCAGCTATTCTTTTCCATAATTATTGTATTAATACGATGATTCACTTCTATAGATATATGATTAAAAAAAAGTGAGACATAAACCCTCAATTGTGCAAGCTGTGAAAAAAACCTTTTTTTGTTGTAGAGCCATACAGATGACGTCTAAGACCAAAGTTAAAATTCACATCAAATCAAAGAATCTCTGCAAGACAGGGGTTATCTTTCCCAAACACATCAAATCAAAGAATCTCTGCAAGACAGGGGTTATCTTTCCCAAACACAGAGTCCAGTGGCACATTGTTAGGAAAGTGGGAAAACATCTGTAAGACATGGCAGTGAAAACAGCTCAGGTTAATGTGAGCAATATTTTTAGAAGAGCAAAACGTAGGAATGGAGCTTTAGTTGCAGCCCACTAAATGATATGAAAACATTACAGAAAATAAGTTACAGATAATAGCTCCGCAAAGGTAGCTGTCATAGCCAGGCATGTTTCGGCCGACTATTAACCAAAGAGTCATTCTTTAGAGAAATACTGAAAGAAAAAGGTAAACAAAAGTCCCCACAGCAGCTTTAATTGATACATTCAGATTTGTTGCCCTGACATTAAACCATTATTCCGTTCGATTATTTATTTTACATTATTAAGAAATGAACTAAACCAAGCTCTGCACATTTTAACATGATATAATATTGTGTTGTTTTTAATCAACAGAGTTTAACTAACTTACAGTTCTATAACATCTGTGTTCTTCTTCATTTATTTGACTGAGGATTTCACACCAGTGGAACAGTTAGCATCATAAGGGGCTTCGTAAGGTCAGGCAAGTTATAACTGAGGGTAAAATTCCAGGGATTACATCATCTGTTTGATGTTATCACAACCCTCCAAAGAGGAGGGCGTTGTTTTCCTCACAGGTCTGGCTTTGCACGCCATCACGCTCTCTACAATGGTTTTTGGTTCAGGTGTACGTGTAGAGTGAAAAGGAGGTGGAGAAGGGGAACAGGGAACAGCCAAAGTAAACAAAGAGCATTTTGCACTTATCAGTGCACATTGTAAACGGCACTAAAGCAGATTAAGTATGACTTGCAAGTCTTAACAAGTTTTTTTTAAGAAGAAATTAGAGCATGGCAGTAATAAAATGACTAAAGAGAATAAAAAAAATATTTTGTAAAACATGGGCTTCATTCATGTTGCATTACGTTACAAGTACAAATATTTAAATAATCTAGTAAGTATGGAATATAACCCTTAAGTGGAGAGAAATATGTAGTTTCCGAATTCATTGGACCTTGCCACAAATTCCCATGCCAGGTTGGCAATTTTTATTCTTGTTACAGAGGAGTGATGTCTACGGGGAAAACTCCAAGGGGGGCTCATTGCATTTAAAGAGACACACACACCAAAACAGAGCGTTCTGAGAGAGCTGGTTTATACAGGGTCACAAACCTCCTCTGGTCAAAATATAACATGAATCAAGCACCAAAGCACAGCACAGATGTTTCATTTAGAGCACAGGGGACTGTTTGAAATGGTGAAAAAGGGGGATAATATGTCCTCTTTAAAGACAATAAGCTAAAGGCAGCTTGTAGTAAGGAGATGTTATCTGGATTATATCCCCTCTATGGGGGAACGGTAACACTGAACAAATCAAATGCTACAGATATGAGCAAAGTAAAAAAAGAAGTAGCAGTTGCTAGTCCTATGAAGTGAAACTAAATAAAATGCTGCTGCACTTTAGTGTTGACAGGCTGAGCTCACAGTAAAATGGTGTGATGTCTTTAATGACTCAGGTGTCAACCACTACCACAGGTGTGGTAAGTGAATGAAGACTGACTGGAAAACAGTGCTCTTACTGCAAATGCATTTTGTACTTTTACATATTAATGAAAAGTATACCAATACTTGTGTAATAAATAAATGTTTATTTGTACGTATATAAAGGAATACGTTATGTCATCAGAATCTAATCCAAGCCTTATATTCGGAGCAATTTGAGGCTAAGAATCTTTTCTTAGAACTCTGTTTTGTTAACAAGGTCCAGCTGGTGCAATTGATTCGTTTTATAAAATTAACTTTTAGCTCATTTGACCCATCTCATACTCTGTTTCAACATCCAAAAGCATTTTAGTTGATGGCATTTCTTTAGTCTTCAATTTTCTATTCTTTTTAAAAGTGCACTACGGAGATTTGGTAGTGAAATTTGTGTGAAACAATTCTATGCTATATTTTCTGAACTAAATACACAAACTTTATTCAAAGGAAAAAATCAGTTCCTGAACACTGTTTGGAGCTAAAAAGCTCCAGGAGAGTTACAGTTTCACTGTTGTGGACCCCCCACCATAACTTCTCGCGAAGCATTTTATATTCAATTCAGTGTTCCAGGGACCAAATTTTCCTCTGCGGACAGTTTGTGTATACAGTTATGAAATAAACCACAGAATCTGTACACTTCTCCAACTTTTACATTTCTCTACCAAAACTACATAGTGCACCTTTAAAATATTCCAATATATATTGTACCGTGGAACTATTATATCGCTACATCACTAGTTGTAGAGAATCAAGACCAGAGGACCAAATCTTTCTCAGTTTGTCTTTTTTTTTTTTTTAAACAGAGGATACCAAATAATCTTTCGTTTTTGACTTAAGAGACCCACAGCACAGGTACAGAAGAACTTACAAAGACAATGAACATGATCCAATAAACATTACCTAACTCAAATACATGAAAACAGCACCAATTGAAATGCTATTTGCTTTGCAGCACAGCACAGGGGAAATGTTTCCACACTAAATGTGTTTTAAGAATATGACTGTTGCTTTGTCTCCTTTCTACACATTGAGTGGTCATGAAAACCATCCAGTCCTTTAAAAAAAAAAATAAAATTGGCCTAGAATGTAAAAACACAGTACAGTATCCTACATTTAGATAATTTATCATTTAACAATAAACATGCTCCAAGTAAATAACAAGTATCTCTTATATGCTACAGACAAAAAAGGTGTGATATCCCCCATTGCTTGATTTGGTTTCCTGCCCACATAGTTTCCATTAAGCCACAAAAGGTTGTAGATAGAGTGCTACTTGCAAGATAGATCCTTTGTTCAGCAACCATGAAAATCACATACTGCATTTTAAGTTTCTTCCAGCTGCTCTCCCTAACTGGTAAGATGAGAACAAATTTATTTCAAATTCTGCGGAAACGATAGATAAAAGATAGGACAATAAAATGTATATTTTTTTCAGTTTTAAAAGGGTTTTTATTGTTCTATTTTGAAATAGCCTCTGTAGATTAGTTTGAAATAAACATCTCTACATGGTGCTCTGATTCTGAAGAACAGTAATACTCGTTTGTTTGTTGATAAATTGTTTTTTGTAATGTGTAGATATTTACCTTCTCTCCTCATGTTAGGCTCTTCTGAGAGTGGAATAGTAGGTGGTAGGGTTGCAAAACCTCATTCTAGACCCTACATGGCATCTCTTCAAGTCGATGAACATCATAGATGTGGTGGGATACTCATTCGGGAGGACTTTGTTCTAACTGCAGCACACTGCAAACTGTGAGTTTATTTTGTGTCCATGAAGCATCACATCTTCTTGATGTTTATTTGAAACAAAGTAAAGGTATATTCACGTTACTGCCTTCATGCCTTTTGGAAAGAACATTCATTTAAATAGCTTTTACCTAAACTAAACTAAATTAATTCTAAAATGTTGTACATTTCATTTATCATAATTTATATGTAAGTTGGAGACAGGAAGTTTCCTAACATTGTTAAATTGCACCTTTTTTGTCATCATATTAAGTCCATTCTAAAGTGTTGAGTGATAATTAGTATTGTTGTGTTTATCTAAATATGATCTTTTCCATGTATGTCAGATCGGATCACATGACAGTAGTACTTGGAGCACATGATATAAGCAAGAGAGAGAAAAGTCAGCAACGGATTCAAGTGGCCGAGTTCTATCCACACAAGAGATTTAATGGAAATACTGATTATGACATCATGTTACTCAAGGTAAACTAAAGCAGAGTATATTTAATATCAAAACGTACATAAAAAAATAACTTTATTTAATGTAATTTGCTGTTTGGATTTGGAAAATGTATTTGAGGCTTTCGATTCAGCAGTTTCTGTCTCATGTAAAGCTGTACAATGCAACACCTTTGCACCAAACCTCACTGGGTGAGAGTGTGGAGATGAAACCCCATGAAAAGTTTTTTATGGATTAGTTAGATCAAGAAATACTCTTTAAAAAAACTGATAGAAGAAGATACTAACTTCTGTAATTTCAGGATGTCTCGTTTCTCTTTTGCAGTTAAAACACAGTGCCACTCTGAACAAGTACGTAAATGTCATCAGACTACCTAAGAGAGATGACGAAATCCTGGCCAACATTAACTGTGAAGTTGCTGGATGGGGCTATACAGAACCAGATGGATGTCCCTCAAGCGTACTGAAGGAGACCAAGGAAAAGATGCAATTCCCCTTTGAGTGCAAGAAAATTTGGGCTGATTCCTTCAATAGTCAGCACATGATATGCACTAAATTTGACAAAAAGAAGGGAGGGATTTGCAAGGTAATCAAACAATGTTAGAAAAGATCAGACCTTTAGAATCCAACTGTTATATTTGAAAGAATACATCAAAACTGTTTCCTCTTTATTTATGACAAACAAGTTTATTTGCCATTTTTCTGACTAGTATTTCTGTTGCCTTTTTCAGGGGGATTCAGGGGGACCACTTATGTGCAAGAGCAAACTTCAGGGTATAACTGCTTTCACCTTAAAAAGTGATTGTAATAATCCCAAGTATCCCCATGTCTTCACCAAAATCCAGTTTTTTCTTCCCTGGATTGAGAAACGGATCACTGGATAGTTGAACGTGGCTCATAAAGGTTATAGTTTCAGACCACAGAGGTCAGTCATAATGCAAACTTTTGAAGTTGAACCGTTTCCTGTCTGTGAAACCCGTCATCTGCGGAGAAAGTGAAAGTAATGTGTTTAAAGGAACTGTTCATTTTAAATTTAGAGCCAAGTACTAGCTACTAACAATGTCATAATGTATTGAAGTTAAAATATCTATCCATCAAAAATATGAATGTCATTGTTTTTTGTTTTATAAGTGAAATAAAGATGAGATGAAATACACACCTGACTGGGATCTCTTGTGAAATATCTCTTTTCTATTACCTGTTAAGAGACAGGATGGGTTGTTTTAAAGTACAAAATCCACATTCCCTATAGTAAATTAAAAGAGGAAACTTTGTAAGATTAAAAATCAAACAACAAGCTGTTGTAAATGAAATAACCCCAGGCTGTGAAGTAAACAGGAAATTACACAATTGCTTCAGTTCCGTTTAACAAGTTCTTCATTTACTGTGTCAAAGGATTGAATTACATTTACCCTAGAGTTTTTTAATGTTACATATAACACTTTGATTTTTAACACAATATGAAAACCTAATGATTAAGAAAAAATGATTAACTTTACCGTCGGATATTACTAAATATTTCTTGGTAGAAGGAGGCTCATGTCATTAGTCCATTCACACCAGAGAAGTGGAAGTATAATGTATAAGTGTAAAGTGTGTGTGTGTGTGTGTGTGTGTGTGTGTGTGTGTGTGTGTGTGTGTGTGTGTGTGTGTGTGTGGGGGGGGGGTCATTGTTGCCCAACCAACCAGTCAATGTATATTTCCACAATATCTCTTTTTGTTCTACCAGTGTCAACTGGCTGACAATTGATTAAGTTCAAATCACATTACAGATCAAGAAATTCTTACCTTGTCAAAGAACCTGCTCAGCTTCACAGCATTGGACGTTCCTGCAGCCAGGTATCTCGGGTTGGTGCAGTCCTGCAAAAACAAAACAGTACCTCAGCAATAAACCTCAGATAAAGTCAGCCTTTATTCTACTTAAACCAAACAACTCTATGTCTTCATTTTGATTTTGATCATTCAAGAGTTCTGATGACTTGATCAGCCATGCTCTATCTTGAATACCACCACAAGGTGTCATGGAAGACTGATTTAAAAAAAACAAAAGGGGATTTTAAAATTATAATACATTTCTTCAATTACATTTTTTGTGTGCCAGATTTTAAACAGATGTTTGATTGAACCTCTGTATGAAACTCAATGACAAACCTTTTTGAATATATATTTTTGATAATTAAGCAGACCGACACATTACAAATATGTCCCAAGAATGTTATATACATCATATTAAAACAATATAAATAACTTGATCCGTCTGACATGACGATGATTATTTCAATAGGAGAACATATCACATGAGACTCTGTCCGTTGTATAAATAAACAAGTTAGAAAAAAATTGTATTTGATTTTTTTTGTCTCAAACATAAAATTGAAGCTTCATATTTTCATCTCAAATTTGGATGCTTTGTCATGCCACTTTGGCATTTTATTTACTTCTGGAGAACTATTGGACTTAATCCCTAATCTGAAAGGCACGTTACTCTTTTTACTACCCCACCTGACTTCCCTTGACCTGGACTGCAGGGGAGGTCTCCAAAAATGTGGCATTTCTCCCAGTTGACAGTGGTTCTGCAAACGTTGTTGTGCAACAATTGGCAAGCGATGAGATTATCACACGAATGATCATTGTTCATGTGACGAGTTGAGCAGTCACAGTTGATTACATTTCAGGTGAAACTTTGATCCTTTCTTAAAGCCTAACCATGTGTGTTTGGTGCTGTGACATAACCAAAGAGATTTATTGTCCACATCGAAACTGCAGCAGAAAGACAGTCCTTTTGTTGTTCGGACCTACAATTAATGAACACAGCTTTTTAATTTAAATTTTTTGAACATTTAAAACCATTGTGATGATGGACAGTTAAGACCTGTCATTGATCATAGCTCCTCAGAGTTTGCTGCTTGCTCCTATGTGGAGACATAGAAACTTTAAGAGCATAATACTGGAATGTAATGTGTAATACTAAGGTGCTATTCCAGGATGGCACCAGCTGGAAGCCATATTGCCTGTCCAGTTGAAGGTATTGTCAAAGAGTTTTGTGTTGTCTTTATTGTATTTGCACCTTTCTAAAAAAACAGAAACAGAACTATAGTTCAGTCCAATTTAGAAGAAACAACACAGCTAGGCTTGACTAGAATGAACAAAAATGAAAACAAGCATTTTGGAAGATTATTGTATTAGCTAGAAGAGAACATATCATGCTTTCAGTCATGAGGATAATTTTATAATGGCAAATAAATCTGGACCATATTTTTAAGTTTGTACTGGCTCAATCAGTAACAGCTGTTTTTGGTTTTCTGAATGGCCGGTCATTTATCAATCAATCAATCAGTTACCATTGTCTATAATGTTGACATTTTAAATAGCTTTTGATATGTTAAATCCCAAAAACAAAAGCATTACAGGGATTATTTTTCAATTCTTAAAATATCTTATGTTAACAAAAAAAATAAAGCCAATAAGTGGATGAATTTAAAAAGAACACGTTGACTTACAAGATTAATCTCCTCTGCATTGAAGTCTTCGGACAGGAAGGCGGTCCGAGTGAGAACTTCATTGCGTTTGGTCTCTGGGATCTGGTCAAACTTTGTTCCAATCAGCAGCAAAGGAACTGGGTTCTCAGCAAACTGTTCTCTATCATAGTCACTGCTGGGAGAAACCATAATTACCGGTATTTACTACTGAGAAGATAAAGATACATATATCATTTCACACTGACAACTTTGTGAGTATGCATATTCTGCACTTTCAAAACAAATAAAACCAATTTCAATTTATTCTATTTGATACGGACGATACGTTTTAACATAGTTCCAATACAGAACATGAAACTGATATGTTTCACAGAGCGTTTATTGTTTTTACTTATTTTAAACTCTTGTCCCATAGATAACATTCAGTCACATAAACCCATATCAACACAACAGTTATTACGATAAACAAAAATAAACAAACCAAAACACTACACTACACACAAAATACATCAAGCGAAAAATAAATGAATGCAGCTCTAGTCTGCTTTTAGACAGTACTTAAACTTTGTTGTGAAGGATTTTATATCTGGAATTAATTTTAAGACATCAACTTACCCATTTGACACGATCACTCCGGTTGGAGACGAATCCTTGTTTAATGCTTCTAGTGACCAACGGTAGAGATTCTGAGAGGACTTCTTATTGGTTAAATCATGTACCAACATTATTCCTGAACAGGGGAAAAACATGTTACCATATGTCACAACTGAATAACAGAGATCCTAAGGTTTAAAGATTTGATTTATTTATTCACCATTTACTGAATTGTAAAAGACGGCTCTGGTGCTTTTGACACTGCTAGCAATCCCAACAGATCCTCCAACATCCCAGAGTTCAATGTAGTAGGTCTTCTCCTCCGGGGTTCCTTCTTTGTAGTCTTGGACCTGCAGGTAAAAAAAAAAAAGTGATTTGATCTTTTCAATGATTTTAAATCTCTAAGCATTTGAAATATGTGAGTTACGGACTGATTTATATCGTCAACATTTTCTAAAGTATGGTACATACAGTATGTATCAGAACTAGGGGTGCAGAAATGCAAAATTTTCTCTAATCGATTACTCTTCCCATTGATAAAGCGAGTACTCGAGTAATCGTTTTGTAGTTTTCAGGCCCCGCCCCCAACTATGACGCGATGCGGACTGTATCTATTGATTAATTTGAATCTTCGGGATTTTGATAATTGTTAGTAAGATGCCTTTGTATTAACATTCAAATATGACATTTCTTACTTCAACAGACAGCAAACCTCAAATAAAACTTCACACAAACGTGTTATGACCGTTCTAACACTTTATTATAATTAGAGCAGTGAGTGTGGCGAGCGGACCGGCAGACGTCAATGCCCACTCATCGCACGTTGAAGCTGTTTTGACAGCAACATTGTGTTAACAAAGACAATCTGCAGTGTAGAGCACACTTTACTCTGGTAAATGAAGTTACAATAGAACGAGGTGAAGTGTCTGTCTGTTTCAGCTTTCTCCACTGTGCGTAATGACACACTCGCTCAATCTCGCTCGTCCGTCCACTATGAGCTGTCTCTCCCTATAAGGTTGTTCCATTTTGTAGTTATTAAAAGAATAATCATCTAAAATTCCAAAATATAAGAAAACATCTAGTTATGCTGCTCTGTCCTGGATGATCAAACATCATTGGTTTAGCGGAGTAAAGCGGTAATCGCAAAGTGAAAGTCCTTCTTTTACTGTGGATTAAAAAGACAATTGGAACTGAACTTTCGTAGATCATATTACATATTTCATTTGTTTGGGACTTTTTGTTCATTGTGAATTCATAGGGGGGTTAATTAAAGGGAACCCGAGTACTCGTTTGCACCCCTAATCAGAACGGCATGCAGTCTAGAGCTACTTGTACTTTACAACAATTTTACATTTTGAAATTTAGATGAGGTCTGTCAAATGATTCATTTTTTGAATTTCAATAATTAATTGCGATCAATAACTCACATTTTTAAAATGTCTTTATTTGCATTTAAAAACCCATTTTGGTCCATTTTTAAAAGTTTAAAGTAACTTATTACTTTAATAGATCCAAAACTTGTTACTCCTGAACTTTTATTAACGATTGAAAGATTCAGTTACACAATGAATTGGGGTTTAAGTGACCTTATTTTTATTCAAGGGATCATAAGATTGTTCAGGATCATATCACATATTGTATCGAGGCCTTAAATAAAAACTAAACTTTTGATTTAATCTGTAAGAATGTATTGATACACTCAAACACAGACTGACTCTACCCCTATCTATGATCGGCAGAATCATTTATATAAAGATGGTGTCTCTACTAAAAAAATATTTTTTCCCCCAAATTTTCCATTTGGATCCCAATTGTTAAAAAAAAGTCTTTCCATATTAAAATATTACTATTTGGTCGCTAATACTAGGTCATTGGCATACAGGCAGTGGGGTTCTACAGAACATCAATGACTCAATTCTGCCACCCTCTGGCTAAAACTGGAGCTTACGTCCTTAATAAAACCATATGCCTGACTATCCTCCTTTCTTTACGCCAATCTTTCATCTGCTGGTAAATCAGTTTTGTTTGTCTAGGTCAAATGAAACAATTTTTTTCAAAATCACTGGTATTTCAACATAAACCAGTTTGTCATAACCATGTCTCTACAGAAGTGCATAAATGATTTTATTTAAACAACAAGCTTACATCCTTTGGTCAATTTAGTTTAAAGTATAATCTACTTCACTCCAATTTTCTCAGTAGAAGCAACTAAGGCACCTTTTCATAGAAAACATTCCTGATTTTGTGTCCACTGGTACGAGACACACTCTTTTAGAAATGCTTTTTCTCTCACCAGGGAGTTAAAAAGCTCATCACCAAATTTGTGATTTACTTTTCAGAATCTGTAACAGCTTGGAGACAGTTTAGGAAAGAGACATCAATGCAGAGATGTGTGATAATCTATAGAGGACTGCACTTCCCGTAATCGTAGTTGTATAATATAGCAGACGTAGGTAAATTCAGTTCAAAGTGATTCTAACCTTACGTTGTCATTATTCCAAAGTCATGCTTCATATTTTGTATCCTTTTGTGTCTCCAGTAAATGTAAATCAAATTGTGATGGCATTTATTTTGGGACTATCCTTTCATTTATAAGGTCTGGTTAAGAACTTTTTGTTGTTTTGAAAGGATAACATTGTCACACACCAACAGGGATAGCTGTGGCTGGTAGAGACGGTTGTCTCTGAGAGAACTTTGAGCCACAGCTCCTGTGTGTCAAAGCTTCCTAGGGCAAGACACTGAACCACAATTGCTACCTTAGCAGCATATGAATCTGAATAAATGGGGTAAGTTAATGCTGATGGACTGTGTCGTCCCAACCGCCGCCTGACGCCCAGCCACCTACATCGGACTGTGTTGTCCCCACAACCATCGCTGTCCTCGTTCATGCACGGCCTGCTCTGACCTCCACCTTAGGGGCAAGGAAGTGTGGACAATGTGAAGGTGAGGAATAGAAATCCTGCCTGCATATTATCCCATATTTTGTAGAGCGTCTCGAGATAACACTTATACGCCATATAAATAATGATTGATTGATTGATGATTGACGGACCCTTCACACAGAGGCCTCTGCTTTGTGTATATGTGACCTACGGTGTAAAAAAGCACTTTGATCCCTGGCCAACGCAACAGCATTTGCTTTCTTTTCAGGAGTTACAGTTGAGTTCCTTTTCTGCACGCATGAAACTATTGTTCCCTGCGATGTCAAAGGCATTTAACTGGTCACAACATGCCTTTGAATCTTCCACAATATTGAGTGGCCTTGTAGTCAGTTGCCACCCATTCAGCAAGCACTGTAGTTAACTTCTTCGCTTAGGTTTCTTCCACGTCCGTGGTGATTTGCGCACATCCAAATAGTGCTCTGTTGGCTTTGGTGATGCAGTTGCGCGCTGACGTCTGTCTGATTGACTGCATCTGTGTGCATAGCTCGCAAGTCGAAGCTCTAACTCAAAGTACTACAGTGACATGTTTGTGTCCTAAGTTTCTTTTGACTTTGTTAACTGAGCTTTCTGGGTGTTCAGTAAGACAAAATGAGCCATCAGCCATTTAACTGTGCGTTGATGTTGTTATTACTCATCACTTTGGCAACAGGAAGCAACGAGGCTGCTTACTTACAGGGCCCCAAAAGGGATAAAACACCACGATTACATTTCTGATCCTTATACATACCCTAATCCCAATCAACTACTACTTTACTGAAACGTACTGATCCTTAACTGAAGAGGTTTCAAACTGGATAAGAAGACACAATATAATACTGCTGCATCTTTACGACCAACAAAAGACAGAGAATTTCTGTAACTGTTGTACTTTGGTAGTTGTCCTTTAACTTGAGCAAAAGATTTGTTGAGCCAGTTATTGTTCATGCATTTCAGTCATTACGAGCTTGTATCTCAGAGGTGGCTGAATGAAGTGTAACAATGTGTTCAATCTACTCACCCGAACATCCACGGAGCAACCCACAGTCCAGGACGGGTTTCCTAACACCTGGTTCTGACAGAGCAGGTGGACCAAGGAAGACTTGCCAACCCCTACAAAAGACAAGACATGTGGGTTGATGATTGACAATGAGATGGTCGTTCACTGTTATATGATATGAAGCACTAAGAAGTAATGTTGAACGCAAATGCATCACATGAAGCTGTCCAATGTCAACGTTAATACATAATAATAGTGCACACAATTGGAAAATAGACGAATGACAAAGGCTTTGACCATTAATTGACATATAATTGAGAGCATGTTGAACGGTATTTGTCTTTAAAATTCACTTCTAGCTTTACAAACAAGCAGGCGTATTCATTAACAGTGCACTTAGCTTACCGGAATCTCCTAAAACTAACACTTTCACCCTGTCAAGAGAAGCCATTTTATGGACAAGAAGTATACCGGAAGTAAACAAAGAAAAGCCCGCCTCCTTACAACTTATTTCGATTTTTGATTGGTTCAGAAAAGCCCGCCTCCTTACAACTTATTTCGATTTTGATTGGTTCAGAAAAAATATATAATTTAATTCACGAGGCAGAACAACAAAAAAATACAATCTATTAAAACTAACTTTGCTTTTTTAGTGGCTTATGGGTTGTTTTCTACAGCTCAGCCAAAATGTATTCTTATCAAACCTTTGCAGCGTGATTCGTACATTAACTTGCTTGGGGAAAATAAGGGAAATTAAAAGCCGGAGGGTGGCAGTAATGCAAGTACTTGGATGAATCCTTTCCAAATCTTCACCGTAGAAGAAGAAAAAGAAGGCAACAGGAAATAATAGACGCGAGGTTGTGATTTATTTCCGGGGTTGTGTTCTTAAACGCGACGCAGTAATGCTAGTTTACATAGCAGTGTAAAGAAGCAGAAGTTACATTTGTTAAGTGAGCCTCATCTTTGATTCGTTTGGACTAAAATGCCATAAGAAAAACACCGGTTTCTCTTTCGTATCGGTGGATCATAAAGTTAAAAAAAAACTATCAGGTAGGTTAAGGTTGCCATGCCGACGGGTTTTCTGCACACATAAGAGAAACTATTACACTAACTAAGTCTGCTGCCTAAGGCTTTAATTACTTTGTGGTACCTTCAGAAAACAATGCAATACAAACATAACATTTATAATCTCTAATGAAAAGGAGCAGAAAATATAACAATGTAACAAGAAACAAGAATTATAAATGAAATACTGTAGCTGCAGGCCAATACATTTATTACCATGCAAACACAAAATACAAACCTCATTAACACATATCATTATTTTTCCACAACATACTGGCTTTAATTGTTCTTTTAAATATAAAGTTTAAAAATGCCTGTTTAAAATACATGATAACCCTTCAGCATTATCTCAGTATTCATTCTACTAAAGGTATCTTTTTGTGTCTGCTACTTCTCTGACTTTAATGGTGTCTCATGTCTCTTCACAGGACTCTTTCCTCCCTCCTCCTCTCCATAGCAGACCATGATAGAACCAGAACTACTGACCGAGGTCCCGGCAGCACTCAAACGGCTTGCCAAGCAGGTTGTGAGGGGTTTCTATGGAGTTGAACATGCCTTGGCTCTCGATGTGCTCATCCGAAATCCCTGCGTGCGAGAAGAGGACATGCTGGAGCTGCTCAAGTTTGACCGTAAACAGTTGCGCTCGGTTCTCAACACCCTGAAGTCTGACAAATTTGTGAAGTGCCGTATGAGAGTGGAGACAGCCCCTGATGGCAAGACAACAAGGCACAACTACTACTTCATCAACTACAGGTACCTTTCTGTTTTGTTTGGATTTAATGGTGTACTCAACGCATCTCTTCACCATGTTGTATGCAACAGTGCTTCGACCGTGCATATTTTTTTTTTAGGTTGCTGGTAAATGTGGTCAAGTATAAACTGGATCACATGCGACGGCGCATTGAGACAGATGAGCGGGACTCCACCAATCGTGCCTCCTTCAGGTGCCCCTGCTGCCACTCCACCTTCACTGACCTAGAAGCCAACCAGCTGTTTGATCTTATGACTGGTAAATATCGACCAAAATGAAATGTCGCAAACTGGTAATGGTACCCTCTAAGGTGTCTGAATTAACTGAATCCTGGCTGTGTTCACATTTCAGCAAAGAATATGCAGTTTACTTATCTGTAGCCAAGCGTACATCTGCGTCAAAATGCAAAATCTGTAGGCAGCAGTGAGTTCTAGTGTTCATGTGGGATGTGCAGAGTTGGTTTGCTAAACGTTTGAATGCCTCACCCTCGCCGGTTGGCATCAGTAATACTAGTCGATCAAACTAATTGTTAATATTTTAATCGATGTAGGCCCCACAATGCGTGTTAAATGTTGTGATAAAGAAGTAACACAGCCACCTGGCACCAGCCAAGACTGTGGCTCAAAAGTCTTGGCTGTTGCGCCAAGAAACTGTTGTTGTCAGACTGCAGACAGTCTGTTTTGAAAGAAATTGGTTACAACATAAGTTATATCTATATATACTTTTGTTTACTGACCATTTCACTGATCGAAATGTCTTCATGAGATTTTGAATGACTTTCTGTCCTCTTAGGAGAACAAGAAACAAACTGCAGAACTCCTGCCAGTTATTTAAGAAGTCCCTTTCATTTGCTTGACATTCCCCTGACAGCCAGTGGCTTAATAATAACATCAGGTTATATATGTCACTGTTGGTCAAATCTAGTTGGAGTCAAGAGATAACAACTGAGCCCGACATCGTCTTTGCAAACACACACGGACTCAACATTTTTAGTTGTTTGAGAATCAAGTATACCTTACACAAATACTGATACGTATTGTTACCATATTTACGTTTATCTTTGCATGTTTTTTTTTCTCCCTTCTTGTTTCTCACTTACGAGATGACAGTGGTCAGATTTAGTTTCTAATAAGTGTGGGGAGTGTTGGAAACATGAACTGGCTCTTAATGAAACTGTGACTTCTTCTGCTTGTGGCTACTCCTCCTTGGACAGCAACAACAGCCATTTGGCTTCACATCTGTTTAGGTGCAGTATAGCAGGTCGGCTGTTGGAAGACAAGGCGTCAACTACTCAGGGCTTGATACAATAGCTAATCATGTTCGGGTTTCTGTAGTGCGGAACTGCAATTTGTTATACCATTTATTATATTATTTATTAATCACTCCGATGATTCCCTGCCAGCCTCGACTGGCGGCTGATTTTACATACTGTGAGTTTGAGGAAGAACCAACATGAACCAACTTATCTATACATCTGACACACCGTGAGAAAAAAGGGGGAACGGAATCATTGGCAGTGAACTGGTTAGCTATAATACCAGTAACTGTGGAGCTAGTGGAAAAGTTATCATCTTTTTGCCAATCACTTCCATGCTAGATATTTGATAATGTGATGGTTTTACTGATCCATTCATAAACTCCCAACGGCTGGCAGACTCACCCGTTCCATCATGATAACTTCAGACTTGACATTTTCAGTTTGGATAACAAAATGTCTAAAGCTGAACCTCTCCCTAGATTTTAAAATCTTCTCTACGACCAATAGGTACATTTCGCTGCACGTTCTGCCAGACCGAGGTAGAAGAGGATGAGTCTGTTTGTCCTGATGCTAGGACACAAGTGGCACGCTTCAATGAGCAGATTGAACCCATCTATGCACTACTACGTGAGACCGAAGATGTTAACTTGTCCCATGACTTGTTGGAGCCCGAGCCTTCTGAGATCCCTGCCCTCAAACAGAGGTAAGCTTCTGAGAGAATTCCACAAATTACAACACTCCTTCCTCCACAGTCAGCATCACATACAGTGCAGCAGCTTCCCCTAAGTGTGTGACCGAAATTAGGAGATCTATTCTGTAAACAGTAGTAGTAATTAATGGCCTTGGTGATATTGTTTAATTCTCAAAACCTTCTGTGTGCAATGCCGAGTCTTTTCTCTTTAGTCACAGTAGGAGTTTAAACTTTTTTCAATTTTTATTTCACCAGGAAAGAAACTCATTGAGATTAAAAGTCTATTTTTCAAGAGTGTCCTAACCAGAACAAAAAAAAATCTGATGTTGTTTGAAACTTACACCAGCTGCTGCTGCTGTTGATGATCTTTTGAGGGTAATGATTTTGTCTTTCCACCAGTCGTGAGCGTTCTGCGGCATCAGCGAGTGGGCCACACCGCGAAGCCTGGTCCAACAAAGGCTCATCCTACGCTGACATGTACACCCAGAATGTGGTTATCAGCATGGAGGAGCAGCAGGAACAGCAGAAGCAGGCTAATGAGGGCAAGGCTCCCAAAGAAAGGCCCGTCTGGTTGACTGAGAGCACTGTGCAGGGTGCTTACAGCGAGCCTGACCTCCTCAAAAACAGTAAGTGGTTACTATCTCATGCTACATGATTTGGTGATTATTGTTGATATAATATATTATAAGCGCGTACATCCAATAATTTACAGACCAAGCATTTTTTTAAATCCAAAATAATAAATTCAGTTTTTGTTTTACATTCATTTCAGTACATTGAATTTAGTTAATAAGATATTATGTTCAGTTGGATCAGATCACGGATTAAAGTCAAAGATCATTTTATCAAATCAGGAAATTGAGAAATTCTGAATATATATTTGTCCGCCTTTTATTTTTTAGAAAGAGTAGTAGGGCCCTGGCTAAAAGTATGGTCAGTGACGCATTCAAAAGCGGCAAAAACTGCTGTTACTAACCCACAGGGTTGTTTCCTAGTCAAGGCAAGTCAAAATGCTAAACTTCACAGCAGAAAAAAACATTATTACCTGCTGACCCTCATTGTCCCTGGAAGTGGTTAAAACATTTAATGTTGCGGACACCTGGGCACACGATTATGCCTATCCAAATAGAGGCAAATAGATTAGAACAGCCCAATATTTTATTTTGGTAATTTATTGCAGGAAACGCTAGAAGCAGAACACCTGTTATCTCTTGAACTACTTTTTTGTTTATGTTTTTACAATAATGGACACTATTTTTTGATTTATATATGGTTTTTTGGAAGGAATCTTACAACCCCCACTTTGGGAACCACTGGTCTAGACGTCACCGGAGCTTATTTACTTTACTAGTTATTCAATGTAACCTTTTTGTTGAGATGCACTGATTGCAATATCCTTGGCCAATTTCAGATTTGTACCTGTTCTGACCTGCAGATACTGATTTTTGTCCAAACAGATTTTCTTTCTTTAAATCACTAAAATAACAGCAAAAACAAATGATTTTAGAAACTTTCCTGCAATGTAAATTAATTTTATATTCATAATAAAACAGTCTGTTAAGTATCTGTTTATTACAGCTACTCCACCTTTATCTTAGTCAAACTATTCAATAGAACATTTTTAATGTCAAAACCCTTTATTAGCTGTATTTTTATGCAATTTTTTGTGTCTTTACATATGAAAGTTAAAAAAAAGTTACTAATCTTTGAAAATAACACTTTGATTTGCATTATCTGCATTAAATTTTCCCATTCTAGAAAACTTCAGCAGCCATAATTCAAAAGCCTGAAGTTTTAAATGTAACTCTTGAATAAATCAAATGGTATGAACAGAGAAGTTTACTGCTTCACTCTCTTCAGCTGAAGAAATGATCACTTACAGAGTCTGACCTGTCTTTTCACTGCCATGGTAATCACTGTTTGTGGTTGTAAATGGTTTTAATATCATATCTGATATATTTGCTGTAAAGTGATTCTTCTCAAATCAGGTTAAAAAACAATTTAATAATTCCGGTCCCATGCCGATCTATCAGACGCCTTTTAGCAGTCTAAAGTGTAACACAAACATTGAACAAACAAGCTTGCTGTCGGGTCTATATTTTTATTTTACGGAGCAAATTTTAAGTATTTTTTAATGTATATGTATCATCAGCCTAATAATTCCTTTAAGAGCTGAAAAGGAGCTAGATGTGATCGACCACAGAGTAATTCAAGTTTTACAGTTGGAGGACCTATGCCCAATTTTCTCTGCTGAGTATTCTTGTACTTTTGGATCTTAAGAAAACATGATGTGGCTGCCAAACGCCAAAATGTATACCTAAATATGACTGTCCTTAAACCAGTATGAACAAACTGTCAAAGGTTTCTTTGGCTTTTTCAACTTTACTTTTCATTATGTCCCCTAAGCTCGACAAAATAAATACTTTATCTACTGATTGGCTTCCTATCTAAAGTAGCTAGGTAGCATTAGCTTGTGGTTATGGGATAAGCAACAGTTGAGTGTCACAAATTGCACCAACATTAGTAAAGAACAACAATCTCTTGAAGCAGCCGACAGTCAAGAAGTAGTCATCTATATTCTTTTCCATTTTAAAATATTTATTGATGTGTTTTATTTTGTTTTGACAGGTGGAGACATAGTACACAAACCCATGGATGGAGACGCTGGTCTTGGGATTGGTCAGGCAGATGAGAATGAGGAAGTCATGCGTGCTTTGCTCATCCATGAGAAAAGGGGTGCGGCAGCAGCAGGTGGAGGTGGAGCGAGCGTCGCTACCAGGGGACTCGCCTCCGCCACAGGAAATGCTAGTGACTCTGACAGTGACACCAGTGAATCAGACGATGGCTCTCCCTCAGCTCCTCCCACCACCACAGCTGCTCATAGTCGGGCTGACGAGGACGACGAAGAGGACGACGGGGAGTTTGAAGAGGTGGGGACGAGCCCATGGTGACGGTGGGAGGCCGACCGTTCTCATACGAGAGGTCAGCCAGAGGCCAGAGCTAGTGGAGCAGATGTCTGCACAAGAGAAGGAGGCCTACATTGAAATGGGAAGAAACCTCTTCAGGATATGTACTTCTGAACACATTTACACACACAGCATATTAGATTTGATGAATTGGCTTTAGATTCACTGGTAATATCTGAGGACATATTTGTACACAGTACAAAAACAAAACGTGCTGTTCAAGACTTTTTTTTTACAGTATACATGCTTTTCGTTACAAAAACCAAGGCATGCTTTGACAGTGTTTCAATAACTGATCATACCTTTTAGTATTATCAGTATCTCTCAGTATTTTTCTCTTTTGTCAACAGACCAAAAGTAGATGACGAGCTTCACTTTGTGTGAAAGTTGCTGTCAGTTTTATTTTTGTTTCAGATATAAAAGGCCATCTGGACCAAGTGTGAACATATGGTTGGCTAACTTTTGTGACGTGTTGGGGCCAAAAATGTATTTTTTTTTTTTTTTTTTGTAGCTACAGAGAGGAGACAAATTCATCAGCAAGCGGAAAACTGTTATACTGAATAAGTATAACTTTTGGCTTACAATGTAAGCGTTCACATTGTTAATTTCTGAGTCTGTTTTCAGTTTAGTTCATGGATTATGGAGGACTCATAGTTAAATAACTTTAGTCTAGATAAACCTACAATTTGAGCTTGAATGTGAGAGAAGTTTGGCTGAGTGACATAAAGATGTTAAAAAAAAGACATGTAGAAAATACATTGTTCAAACATTTAAAATAAAGATTGAAGATCATCAAAGAAAATATCCAGAAATAAAGTTGTTTAAAAATGGAAAATGTGTCTGAAATCTTTAAAAGAAAAGAAGATGCACTTAAACAGTTTTTAGTTTGATGGGCAAGGGAGCTGTTTCCCCGCCTGCTTTTTATTCTTTTACCAATCACATCTATGCTAGATATTTGATAATGTGATGGTTTTACAGATCCATTCATAAACTCCCAAATGACTTGGAGTCATCTGTGCCATCATGATAACTTCAGACATGAGTGGGAGAAGGAAATAGTGCCGCTAATGGCGTCTCCAAGCGACAGTAAAATATCTAACCCTTAGGCAAACCTTACCTGGCATACAACTGTTGACTTAAAACACCTCAAATACTAGCATCCTTTTTTTTTTTAAATTGATTTCCTGTTGAGGGCAAAGTGTATGTGTCACCTCTAAATACTAGAGAGCAGTCACCACCACCAGCTGCAGACTGTCTTTTTCTACTCAAACTGTGTGTGGCTGTTAGCGCTAGTGTTTATTTGAATTAGATGCTTTTTGCAATGAAGACAATTTGCCTTTAGAGTGGTCAATTTTTCCCCAAATGACTGCATAACGGCTGAGCCACTCAGACACACAGAAGCGGTTTACTCTCTAGTGCTGTTAGGGCTGCATTAAAACCTTTGTGTGTGTTTTTGAATTAGACGGTCTCTAGTTGACTGATTTGCACAAGTTCAGTGGGTGTAAACGCCAAACAATCCTTTTGTGAATCAGGAACTAGGCTTTTAGAAAGCAAAATGTTTGGCTGCAGTGGAGCTGACAGACACTCTATTCAAACATTAATGTGGATCACTTGTGCCTTTTGACAAATAGCATAAAAACTGTATTTAAACCGTGATGTCTCAGTGAATGTCTCTACATCAAAGTGTGCCACATTTCTCTCTGATAACGTGCAGGGAGAGCATGTTTCGTCTCATCCCAGACAAACCAGAACATCAGAACTTTGTCTCATTTATGTTGTACTGTAGCAATGCTAAAAACCGCCTGCTGCTCCCATTACAGACCTTTAGCACTCACTGCTCTCATTTGATAACTTTATGATAATATTGATAACTTCAATGTCCTTTAAGACTGAAGGTTATATTCAGATTAAATATTGTAACGAGTGACAAGGTGTCCAATATTAATAAAGTGGAGTAAAAGTATCATTTCTTAAGATAAAATGTCAATCCAAGTAATATTTACCTAATTTAAGGTCAAATAGTATGCATTTTATCTCTGATATTGTCAGTTTCCTGAATTCATGCATCAACTATTCACCTAAAAAAATGTAATAATTTAAATGGTATCCTTTTAATTCTTCATAATTGAATCAGAGGGGCAGGCAATCTAATTTGAATCGTTCTTGGGCATGGTACGGATCGCCTAGTGTTAGACTTAGACTTTCTTTATTGTCATTCAAATTGTACCTTACAGCGCAGATAAGAACCAAATAGGTATGAAAAGAAACTGTATAAAATATGATGAAAGATATCAAATAGTTAGTGCTCCCTCAAAGGGACATTTACATAGGATATACTTGGATATACTAAAATGCTGCGCGCTCTTCCTTTAAGTCCTTGTATGGATGTGGTCTGGATCATGTACTTCATAAACATTATTTATACTTTGGACCACTAAACATTAGGCTTGTCCTGATAACAGGATAAAACAGGAATTACCATTTTGCATTTTATGGCCATGATCATCTCCTGGTCATGTTATATTCAGGTGAAAATGTCAAGCTCTGCTGAGTTGCTTGGTGTGACTGACAGCTGTGGGGTAGCCATATAAGCACATACATTCCTTTTAAGTTAGAGGATGGACACCTGTAGGGCAGAGCCTTAAAGGTCAGGATGAAAACAGGACCTGGCCTCATTAAAACATCCCCCATGCTTCAGGATAGCTCAATTAAAAACCTAACCTCTCGCTGTGCCATTGATCTCCCATGGCAAGCCTGAGTATGGGGAGATCGGCTGGGTCACAGCAAGGGCGAACAGAACTCAGAAGGGAATCCACAAAGCTTTTAAAAAAATCATGGGACCTTAAAAACAGATATAGCATGGTGCGGGTGGATGCTGAAGTCTGAATACAGCTGTGATTTCTTTAATCACTATGTTTGTATTCCATGTTTTAATGTCTATCTATTTGAAAAACAAAATCTTCATGCGTGTTTGCTATTTAATTTGTGAAATAAAAAACAATATTATGAAAGCGAGGGAATTAAGGTTCACAGGAGCAAACTGAATTGTACTGGGAACGAAATTGGACTAGTTTTGGTATAAAGCGTTAGGCATATAGCTATGTGTGTGTGTATGTAACTGTGTGTGAATACATGTGGGTGGAGTCTCAGAGGGGGCAAGTTGTAATGACTGATGCCTTGCCTGAGGAGATTACATTATGGATTGATTGCTTTGAGGTAGCGCTGTCGCTCTCCCCTCATTAAAGCCTGAAGATTAACAACTTAATGATTGATCCGACTTGTCTGTCTATCATTCTGTCTGCAATTCTCTTTCATCACCTACTTTAACATCTTTGTGCTCTTAAGAAGCTAAGCTGCATTTAATCTATCTCTTTTTTTAAATGTATTTATCTTTATGTGTTATGTGTTGGGCAAAATAAGACACATTATTAATAGTTTCTATTGTAACTGGGGGGTGGGGGGGGGACACTGCAGATCCCACAGGACTGATTGCAAATATATTGTAATATACATGACAAGATATTGTTTAAAGGACCTTATTGAGTTGAACACTGACTCAACAGAGTTAAATGGTAAATGGACTTTCTAGTCTTCTGACTACTCAAAGTGCTTTTACACCGCTGGGTCACCCCTACACATTCACACACTGATGGCAAATGTAGTGAGACCATCAGAAGGAACTAATCCCATTCATATGCCACCAAAGAAGCAGCGGGAGCATTTCAGGGTTAAGTGTCTTGCCCAAGGACACATCGGACATGTTGCTGCAGGATCTGGGGATTGACCCCTCGACCTTCAGGTTGAGAGACGACGACGACTCTACCAACTGAGCCACAGCTGCCCCGAGTTGATTTCCCTTTTATTCCTGTTTTAATGTGGTCTCTTCAGAAGGTTCTGGTGTTGGTTTTTAGAGTCTAAACTATGTGAAGGTCAGACTACATAATGTTGTAGGCAAATATCATGAAATACTTCCAATGTTATTATTATTATTATTATTATCCAACCATTTTGTGTTATTCAGAGAGTTTGACAAGCGAAAAAGATACCACAGTCTGGCAGGAGGTTTGCGTCAGACGACTTGAGAGTGTGCCAGTGGAGGAGCTCAGACAGGTAGGGGGGGGGGAGCCGGGCTATGTCGGGTTTTGTATGTGAGGATGAGGAGTTTGAAGTGGATACGCTGGGGGATGGGGAGCCAGTGGTGATGTGGCCTCGGGTGTTGGAGTGCGTGAGAAGACGAGCAGCGGCGTTCTGGATTGTGTTGAAGCTTCTTGAGTGTTTTGGATGGTGAACTGTGGAGGAGACTGTTGCAGTAGTCTAGTCTAGAGGCGATGAACCCGTGGGTGAGGGTCTTAGCAGCTGAAAATGAGAGGGATGGGCGGAGGCGGGCGATGTTTCTGAGATGGAAAAAGGATGTTTTGGGTTTGGGTCGAAGGAGAGGGTGTGGTCAAAGATGACACCAAGGTTACGGATGTGGGGGGGAAGGGAGCACTGTGGAGCCATCGATGGTGAGGGAGAAATTGTTGGTGGATTTAATGATGGATTTAGGGCCGATGATCATGACTTCTGATTTCTCGTATAGGTCTTGGTCTTTGCGTGTCATGGCTTGGTTAACTTCCTGCTCTTACATGGTATTATTCCTCAGTGTAGTCTTAAGGGTTTTTTCTGTTTATGTCGAAGTTCTTGCCACATTTTTTATACTCTCTACTGTAGAATTATTTCCTAGTCCCTACCTTTGTGTTTTTCCCACTGACTGTCATTATTAATGGACAAAGCCTAAGTGAAGTCATCCGTCTCTTACTGCAGGGGGCTTTGGAGTCCCATCCTTGACTGTCGCCATGCTGGAAACATTCAATCAACCTAACCACAGGCTTAAAGCTGGAGCTGCACGTTACATCGTCATCAATAAATTCGCCCCCTTTGTGTGTGCCCGTGAAGACATAAGCAAACCAGGCTGATTTCGTTCTTTTACACTTGTTCATTTCTGCTGTAAAAACTGTTTTTTTTTTTTTTTTGGCTGGGTGTGTGATTTCCAGTACTTCCGCAGCCAGCTTCAAGGGGACACTCGACAAACTGCAGCATTTTGCACATCCCCATCAGCTTCATTTAGTCACACTGGAGGTTGCCGCTTAAGGGAGACAGCATGGTGACAGCCATTGATGGGACTCAGAAGCCCCCTACAGTAATAAATGATAAATGATAAAGATAAAAGATTTTTATTTACAGTCCAGGGCTGAGAAGCAGAATGTTACGTGCCATAGTTTTGTGTTTGTGTTTTCTCTCTCTCCTCTGTGTGCTCCCCAGGTGTTGCTCCTCAGCCTCAGAGTGCCCAGCCACACCTGTGGCTAATTACTAATCAGGAGCAAAACTAGAAAGAGCGGGAGAGGAGGAGAGGAGGCTGGCAGTGGCCAGTGGGTGATTTTTTGTACCTTTGTGCTTGGCTTTGATGTGAAGAACCTGTGATCCTTCTGTGGAAGGATTGTTTTCCAGACCTTATTGTTAGTTTTGAATAGTGTTTAAGATTGATTGGCTTCTCTTTTGTTTGGTGTTTTTTTTAGAAGAAGCTTGTTTTGTGTTGCACCTTTTGCTTTAGTTTGTTAATAAATCCCTTTTAACTTTACTTATATTTAGTTCTTATTTCTTTTCCCTGGGTTTTAATTTATTGTTACTCCCCTCATCCCCTAGCCATCTTGGGGAACGTAACACAGAACTAGAGCCATGGTTGCTGACTTGAAGATTCTAGTCTTGCCGACCGTCCACTGCTTGTTGACAAACCAGATGCATGGAGTGAAATATGGCATTATTTCTACTCGAAGCGCTTTTACACTGCGGGTCACACCCGTTCATAGCCACTCTAGTCAATGCTCCTGTTTCCACAGCAAGAGCCGCGGTCCTTCTGCTGAGCGTGCCAGCAGCACTACTACCCTCTGCTTTGTTTCAAATACGCTGCAAGTCTTTTTTCTACAGAGCCCGCTGCAAGCAGGCGTCAAGGTACACTAAATAACCAAGTTGGGCAGGGCGCGTGCCGTCCAATGGAGCAAAACCGTGGCACTGACGTAAATAAAAAAATCCTCAAGAAATTAAGACGGGGAACTGAATGTTGTGTATGTTGAAAGCAGATCAGAAATGAGATGCTACGGCTGTTGGCTGTGTTGGCATTTCAAAGTAAACATGAGAAATAATCCATCCTTATTTGAAAATGTTCAACCTTTTGTGAAAGCATTTCACAGACAATTTTAAATCAGCAACCTGTCACCCTGTTCATGAGTCACCACACTTTTCTATTACTTTCACCAGCCAACGATATCATGGTTCTCTGAGGAGGTGTTTATGTGTGTCTAGCACACATTAGAGGCGTTTTTTACACCTGCTAGTGTCTTTCCTCAATAATTGCTTATTCAGCTTAATAAGTGTCATTTTCACTATTTTTACTACCTACCCAAGTAAAACACAAAATCCCTGTTTACACCCGATATCAACATGCCCACTGTGTAGCTGTATCACACGTTGACAGCCTGAAGTACCTATTCCCTTTATGCACTTCATGTCTGCATCACATTTGTTTTAAAGATTTATTTTTGGGCTTTTTGTGCCTTTATTGTAAAGATAGGACAGTGGATAGAGTGGGAAACCAGGGAAAGAGAGCGGAGAATGACGTGCAGGAGAGGAGCCACGGGTTTGATTCAAACCCAGGCTGCCCGCTTGGAGGACTACGCCTCCATACATGGGACGCACACACTAACCACTGCGCCAACAGTTCATTTGTAGAAAGAGCAGGAAACTGAGCTCCAATCACAGGTGGCCTCTGGAGATGCATTTGGAGTCATGTGATCTGTCCAGATGCTAACAGTTGTGTTTAGAGTTGTCCACTTGGGATTGGATCAGCCAGTCCACTTTCCTAATACCAGGTCCAACCAGGCTCATAGATGCCTGTGTATGCTGTATCAAAAACATCAATGAAGACATTTATTAAACAACTACAGTTGCATTTGCACAGTAAGCCCCTGAGAGTAGACTATTGACTTTAAGACCAATAGCATGACCTTCTAGGACCTTTGTTCATGCCCTTCTCCATGGGGAACTGTGACAGAGTCAGAAACTCTTACTGATTAGAATTTTTTAGAGTGATGTCAGCCCTTCTCACAAGCTGTTAGGAAACCTTTAAATATTGTTTGTGATCCATTCCCCATATTAGGCTGTAATGTTGATTGAATAAGATTACCTTAAAGTGTTGCAAAACAGTGTTGACAGCTTATATTGTAAAGAAAGCAGAGGATCATGTTTCCATAACTGTAGACATAGACTTAAACTGGTTCATGACTTTTATTAGCTTGGACCGAAGAAACTAAGTGCTGTTGCACCATATTGCTTATTTGCTTCTCCTGCCACTATCAAAATTAACTTTGCAATCTGTCTGAGACCCAGGGTGAAAAACAATACGTTTCTTATACTGAGGTTAATGTATCATAAATGTATTCAAGATAAATAATCACAGTGGAATTTGATGATTTCCTTTACAGCACTCTTTGTTTTTTAACCAATTGAGCGAAGAACAAATCCACTGAAATGGTTCATATTGGAGAAAGTATACTAGTTGTAAAGTATACTCCAGTGCCACAGTTTTTTGAAATGAGAGTTTTTAGTTGCTAGTCTCAAAGGGTAACATGATTGATTTTTTGCAACAAAATAACCCATAATAAATCAATATTGCATTATCAGAGCTTCCTAATTATTCATGATCACAGTCTCTAGACTATTGAATTTAAATACAAAAACACACATACAAATAAAAAAAAAAATAGTCTAGTTTCTTAGTCACATAAAAAGCAAAAATTTAAAAACTCCTACTACTGGATTGAGCGTAATTTATTGTAAAGGTATGTCTCTGCAAATTGCACATTGGGTTCACCAAAACAATTTGATTAGACTCAAAAGCGAAAAATGAGGCGGCCTCCATTGAACTTTCAGGACTATTGCTGTTTGGCCATTAGCTGTATGGCAATTGGGTTGCCTTTTAGTTTTTTTTCTATGCAATGTCAACTGCTTTCATCCTCCACCCAATCACATATTGACTGAAGAATAACCCAGCTGTTTATCATGACATTGTTGCAGACATTTCCGTGTATCACAGCTAGCTGCCTTTAAGATCAACTTATAGTTTGTTTTTTTATTGAAGTACTGTTGATTTTTCATTAGTTTAATCCCGAATGTAATTTAATTGGTTTACCTTTTCAGACCAATTGTCTTAATTACTTGTGCAAAGTTAATGTGAGACAGCTGGTGGTCAGTGCTCAGGTCTGTAATTCATTGTTCTTCTTAATGAAGAAAAATGTGATCATTATTATAAATGTGAGACCACTGTGATGCAGACACATTTGACAAAATCTTTCTCTATATGTTTAGGCCTCCTCCACATTACATGTTCGTAGTTTTAACCAAAACTTTTTGAAAGAAATGTTCATTGTGGATACATGGGAAAATTAACACTGTATTACAGTTTATGGAAAAATTAGAATTTTGACGAACATAACTGAATATTTTTGTCATGAAACAACAAATAGATGAGGATATGATAGTGACCTTTTGTGTGTACGCAAATATTATCACTTGAGTTGGTGGATACCACAAAGAAATGGCTTTATGTCCTTGGGCTCAATGTGACTTTCTTTTTCTTCCACTAAACTTTAGTGACTAAAGGTTTATCTTTGCTTGGGGGTGCTGACTAATGAAATGAGTTGTTACGTAAGAGATCACATAAAGTGAGCTGGTTTTTTGTCATGGAGAGGAACTAATACGTTTGTGTTAATATCCATACAAAATAAAGAAATTCAAATAAAAACATTTTTACAACTCATTACAGTGTGTCACACATGCAGTGTGGTAGGTCTGATAGTGGTGGTCGCTTGAGTGTCTTGTAGATCTGCTTTTCCTTTTGCAGTGTAAATTGACGCGTAGGTTGAAGTGTTAGTGATCACAATGTGCTCATGTGTTGGTATCTATGGTGGTCTGCGATAGAATCTCCCTGTAGTAAGTACCCTGTCTACTTATTGCTACCCTCAAATATATATATATATATATTTGTTCTTGAGTTCTGGAGTATGTCTGTGTAGGTTCTCAGTCATCCAGGTCTTTGGATCAAGCTGCGAGTTCTGGAGTAGCTATTTATAAATGTTGTTAAATAAAAATCTTTCTTAAACTTACTTCTCTCCATTCTCTCAGGTTCTCCAAGGCTATTTTTGTGAATTGAATGCACGTCTCCTGCTCTCCTTGACCCTATAGAAAGTAGAGACCTATCATAGGTGCATCATATAGACTTTAGATCTAGACTCTATAATACTGTGTCTGGCTACATAATGTTTGGCAAACATTAAATGCAACTTTATTCACTATAATTACCTGCCTTTTCACACTAGTGTATACATGATAAACGTATCAGATTCCCATTGCTACATTGCATTAACTCACCTACTGTAATATCATCAATTCATCGCAACGTAACTCATCACATCAAATGTAACAACTCCTAGTTCCCAGATAAAGAAAACAAACAATCTATGAATGATATTTAGAAGTTCTGCTTATGGATGTTAAAAATAACACACAAAACAGATGCACCAAAATATTAGTACTGGGATCAAATAATGCTGTAGTCGGAGAAGGGAGCAAACAGATGATGGCAAAAAATGTGCTTTTAATCAAGGATGAGGCCAAAACATTTTCACAAAATTCAGTAGACATGGAGAGGCCTGCTTAAAGTTTTCTGGACTGGACAACCACATTGCAGCTCTAAATAGAAAGGTGTAACATTAAATACCATTCAAAGCATATTATTCTGAAACCAGCTCACTTTTTGAGTCTAAGGACAGAGAGAAAACAGTTAAAACAAGTGCCCAGATGCTGGTGTACCTAAGAGATCCACTCTTCTATTTACAGCTGCAATGTGGATGTCCAGTTCAGAAAACCTTTATCAGTCATATCCACGTCGAAAAATTTTGCGAAAATGTTTTGGCCTAAGATTTGATTAAAAGCACATTTTTTGCCTTCATCAAAAATGCCCACTGAATGACCACGGGGGTTCAGTCTACTGAAACCCCTTACTCTAAAATCTGCACTCCATACTGAACTGTGGCTTTGGGAAAGGGCCTCTGTGTTTCTTCTCCTCTCTGCCGCTTCAATGTTGGATGTCATTCAAAACAATGAAAGGGATTGTATAGGTGGACGTATTACACTATTAATCACTGTTTAAGTAGTTTGCATTTAGCCACACCAGGACATTTAAACTCATGCATGGAGGTTAAGACATCAATAATTTAAACCCCCAGTCTGTGATCCACATGAAAAACAAAGGTCAACCCTTTGCACCATCAAAAATTCAAAATACAAAACTAACCTATCTTTCTCTCTTAAAATCAATCAATCATGATTTGTATAGCGCCAATCATAACAAATGTTATCTCGAGACGCTTTACAAGAAGCAGGTAAAAGACCTCTTTGTTATTTAATATTACTAAAGAGCAGGTAAAAGACCTCTTCGTTATTCAATATTACTAAGATGGAGGTAAAAGACCTCTTTGTTATTCAATATTACTAAAGAGGAGGTAAAAGACCTCTTTGTTATTCAATATTACTAAGATGGAGGTAAAAGACCTCTTTGTTATTCAATATTACTAAAGAGGAGATAAAAGACCTCTTTGTTATTCAATATTACTAAAGAGCAAGTAAAAGACCTCTTTGTTATTCAATATTACTAAAGAGGAGGTAAAAGACCTCTTTGTTATTCAATATTACTAAAGAGCAAGTAAAAGACCTCTTTGTTATTCAATATTACTAAAGAGCAGGTAAAAGACCTCTTTGTTATTTAATATTGCTAAAGAGCAGGTAAAAGACCTCTTTGTTGTTTAATATTACTAAAGAGCAGGTAAAAGACCTCTTTGTTATTCAATATTACTAAAGAGGAGGTAAAAGACCTCTTTGTTATTCAATATTACTAAAGAGCAAGTAAAAGACCTCTTTGTTATTCAATATTACTAAAGAGGAGGTAAAAGACCTCTTTGTTATTCAATATTACTAAAGAGCAAGTAAAAGACCTCTTTGTTATTCAATATTACTAAAGAGGAGGTAAAAGACCTCTTTGTTATTCAATATTACTAAAGAGCAAGTAAAAGACCTCTTTGTTATTCAATATTACTAAAGAGGAGGTAAAAGACCTCTTTGTTATTCAATATTACTAAAGAGGAGGTAAAAGACCTCTTTGTTATTCAATATTACTAAAGAGCAAGTAAAAGACCTTACTCTTTGTAATGTTATCAAAGAAAATTGACGTACATTTTAATACATTGATAAATGCTTAGGAACAGGTTAATGTTAGTTCAAATAAAACTTAATTACCAATTATAAATCACAGGTCCTTAAAGAGATACTTCACCCGTTGAAACATGAATCTGTATTGACATTGGGTCATATATGTAGTAGAATTGTGAAATAAATTTTGAAGTTGGTGCATTCTTGGCCGAGAAAAGGTAGAAAGTGTCTTTTTGGCTCGTGTGGATGAAAGACACCAAATCCCAGAATGCACAGCACCGCAGGCCACTCCCACTAAGGTCAGGTTTACAGACAAATTTACTTCAACACATAAGGCTGTTTCCTCAACTGATTCCGAGATTTCTTCCAGAAGGAATTAGCATCTTGGAAATTCCTGGCAGAAAACAGACTCAATGTCTGTGTCCATAGGCAAACAGTGAGAGCACCAACACTACCAGTCTGCCCCAGCTCGAGCCGGCCCCGGCTCCTCGTCCTCACCGCCGCCAACAGGCAGACCTTATGTCTGGTGGCGGCCAGCAATATAGCCGCGAGACGGTGGCTGCCAACAGGCTGGTTTTGTTTCTCGGCTACTGGGGCCAGTGGCAGTCTTGGCAACTAGCGGTGGCAGCAAGACCGACCTGTCGGCAGCAGCCATCTCGCCGCTATATTTATATTTTTTCTCCATTATCAGCTTTCTCCATAGAACCTGTTAGCATAGCTTCCAAGCAATATGGTGGACATTAAGTTTTGATTCTGGGAGTGAGTTCCCACCCACTGATCTGTGATTGGTCTGTAGCTTCAGTGGTCGAAAATATGAGGAACTAGCGTTGTAATTTCACCCTGCTAACCACAACAGCTTCCAATGACGCAAAATAAAACAGTATCTTCAAGTTTGTAATCAATCATTATAAACAATAAGTCTGAGAGTAAAGTACATTATTGAGTATAAAATAAGGTGAACTTGGGATAAAAGTAAAACATGCCTTTTAGGCAAAGTGTGAAATGAATTGAGTTTCCCTTTACTTGGAATCATTGTCTGTAAATAGGACGGATAGCTATATATAAGGTCACTCAGACAATGATTTATGTTTACCAAAATGGTATAGGTGAATCTGTGTTTTATATGATTTGTATGTATGAAGGAAAATGCACAGACGATGATTTTGTGTTCTTTTGCAGAATGTCTGTGAAATCGATGGATTTATTTTCTTTCTCTTCTGTATGGACTTTGATTCTAGAGGAGCTGGTCTTGCTGTTTGTCTTTGTTTGTTAAATCCTGCCTGCATATTATCCTGTATGCTTTTATGCAAAGCGTCTTGAGATAACACTTGTTATGAATTGGTGCTATACAAATAAGGATTGATTGATTGATTATGTTGTACTGTGTATAAGTGTGCATGACTGTATGTGTGTTGGACCCCAGGAAGAATAGCCGATGCCTATGCTGGTGCTAATTGGGATCAAAGAAGGAAGAAAGAGTGCAGTGATGTGCTTCAACATATATTGAGGTTTCATGGGTTAAAACTTCTAACAGAGCATTAATGTGCGATGACTCTCTTAGGTATCATTTTAATGTAGACCTTGTTTGCAGTTAATCACACCTGTACAACAATTTAACTGTGTCTTTCCCTGCAATTAAAGTAAGAACTATACTGGGGGAAAAATTACTGCATTTCAAGCCAGGGATTTTCATGATCTTCTCAACTAAATGTGATTTTAAATCTCCCCAACTGTAGAACAGCACTTAAACACTTTTATAAATGTTTGATATTATAAAGCCTATTTTCTCGACGTGTTAAATTGACTTAACATGAAAACCTGTGATTAAATGAATAGGTGTATTCTTCCGCATTGATAAAGAACCTAAAAAAAAATAAACGATATGGGGTGATATCTAAGTCATTTTTTTTTTTTTTTGCAAGAGCCTGCTCTTAGACCTCTTTAAAGTGTTTTGTTACTGTAGCTCTGTACATCGCTGATGGATTAATTCATATTAAATGAATGTTTGTTTCGTTTTAGGCTATTTTTTCCTTAATTGAAATTTCCCAGGCACCCTTTCCTTCCTGATTCTGTAACTTCAGTTTAAAGCTTTCACGCAATTACTGGTGAGGGAGGGCAGGAGGAGAGAAGGAAAGAGAGAGAGAGAGAGAGAGAGAGAGAGAGAGAGGTGGGAGGGGGCGGGACTTGCTGGTTACGGGTTTTCAGCACCGCGGACAGCTCCCGTCGACTGTATATGGACTGCAGGGAAGCGACGCCAAAACCCAGGTGGATGATAAAAAACGATTCAACAAACCACAGATGAAGCTCCGGCTAGTATTGCCAACCCACACCTTCTTTTTTTATTCCCAATTGAATCTCTTTTTCTCGTTTTACAGCCTGACTGTGGAGTCCAACGGGGTTTAACTGCATTGCCTCTGCGTCTTGTGTTTTACTCTCCTTCTCTCCTCTACTGGCAACGACAGTGCTTTGAAAGTGTTTTTTTTTGGAGGGGGTGAGGGGTGGCTCGGGGTGGGGAAGGGTGGATTGACCTGCAAACACAATTTAATTCTGACTACTTCCTTACAACTGATACTATTAAGCATCACTGATCGCTTACGCCTGGCTATTTTAAGGCGTTATATTTTATGGATGTTCCGTTATGATGTCCAAGCAAAAAAGGAAGTTGAGTAGTTTCCCTGGGCTTCTGTGCATGTCCTGATATATAAAAAAAAGGCGACCTGCATATGCACCATTGGCTGCAATCCTAAAATCAGAGTAGCTAAGACGCATTCTTACTTTTTTTGCCTGTTGTGGAAAACGGCAAAGGGAAAAATGAGGAGCCTCTATGACTTTTCCAATTGCACCTAAGAGAGAGACACAGAGAGTGGACCATCTTACCCTGCCTCTACTGCAGGAAACGATTTTTCTTTCCTTCTTGTGAGCTCCATGAACGAATTTGGATCTTGCATCTTAAAGGACAGCGGGAACTCTGGATAAACTGAAAAAAAAAAAAAAAAAAAGGAGAGTGGTCTTCATTCACTTAACCACTCACCAGGAAAGAATATATATATATTGAAAAACACGATAGAAAATGAGGAAGTTTCGTAAAGTGTTGGACGGCTTGACTACCTCCTCCCCGGCATCGACTCTTGGGTCCCCATCGTGCGGCAGCGGGGCCGGGACTCCCACAGCGGCGCCAACTCCTAAAGAAATCGATGTCCAAGAGACTCTGCAGTCGGAAAACTTTCAGCTTTGTAAGGTGGGTAGATAAAGAGCTTTGTTCAGCCTGTAACACCATGTTACACATTTAAGTCTGACTTTCTATCATCATTATGTGCACACATTGGGCTTGTGGTGATTGTTAATGATAATGAGAAAAGACTGGAAAGTTGGATTTGGAGCGATGGCCTGCTGTATTCTGTTTGTTTTTAAAGTTCAGCACCATGGACAGCTCATCGTTTCCTCACTTCTGAACACTGGGGGCTATTTAAAACGCAACAGCAGAGAGCAGCATTTGAAGTCTCTGTGGATATGGTCTATCAGGGCAGTGGCTGCAATAAATCTTGATTATTAGTAAACCGCTGCTCATCTAGATACGATGAACGTGCACGGTGAGATACAAATGCAATGTGTTATTGTCAGGGCTACACTCCAGCTCCCACCACTTTATGTAGTGCAGCTATATAGGCTAAAAGGCGCCTCGTCATCAGCTTGTTGTATTGGCTGCAGTAGCCTAGCTATCACACATGTGATACAAACAACCCAAAAGGAAGTCAATGAATAGCAGCCTCCTGGTTGCATCAGCAAGTAGTCGCGATTGGTGTAGGGGAGATGATATAACTGGTGTCCCTCCCTTGCATAAAAGAGAGTGCACAGTAAGCCAGCAGAGGGACCCTGCAGTAGCCACTGTCCTAGCTGATGTGCTTTTCACGTAGCATAGGAAGAATGATTAAAGTGTGTAGAAATGTGGATTAGGCATTTTGGGGGATTTATTCACCTTCATTAAAGACGGGAATTTTGGATGATACTGTAGATGTTTCTTTGAGAATCTCTCGGGAAAAAATTAGTTTCTCTAGATGTCTGGGCAGAGTGACACTGGCGGTGGTGCTTCTGGGGGAGGTGGTGGTAGGGGGTGGGGTATGATTCAGAAGCTCAAAAGAATGCTGCAGAGCACCCTCGGCAGGCTGGCAGTCACGCAGGCAGGCAGGCAGGCAGGCAGGCAGGAAACTAGGGAGAGAGTAGAAAATGCTCGATAAGAACAAAATGCCTTCTCCCACAGCTTTTTCTCTTTATGGCTTAATGCACGGTTGTTAATAAAGACCTGAATCAAACAAGCCACTCATGCAAAGGCCACTATCGCCATTAACTTCTCTAATCTCGGTCAGTGCAGCTCAGGTTACAGAATAAAGTCTGTATTTGAAGTGATGCAATGAGTGTGAAAAAGAGTCCGCCCTGGTTATTGTCTCTCTCATACAAGGACTCTGTTTTCACCTGTACTGCTGAACTAAATGTGAAGATCTTAAGAACTTTAATACCTACACTGGACCATTTACATTGTGTGTTTACATTTCTATATAATGTATTGGGTTCAGTTTTAGTTCAGGTTTAAAGAAAAACATGTAACTCAAACAAAAATGTCCCCAAACTGGTCGGTTTATTCAAATATATATATATATGTATAATAACAGCAAAGAGGAAAAACATGACCTGTAATTATTTTTAGTGCCCCAAATATTGATTGGTCTTTCAAACAGGGACATAAATCTGATGGCACATGTAGTATATGTGGGAGGGATTGGCACCTTGGCTTCTTCAAAGTTAGTCATGACTTCTTTCCTCATCTTGCAGTGTGGGAGGATGCAAAAACTTTGTTTTGATTATACAGTATTTTTGTAGTGAAAAGTGCTGTGCCACCCAAGAGATTGTTTGCCATTTTAAGTTCATTTGTTGTTGAATTTTTGCATCTATTAGATAAGACAGGATAAGACAGCTGAAGAGAGACAGGAATTGTTAACGGAAAGAGTGGGGAATGACATGAAGCAATGTCGAGGGCGGATTCAAACCCATGGACACTGTGATGAAGACTGTAGCCTCTGTACATGGGGTGCAAGCCCTAACCACTAAGCATGGGGTGCCCCAACACCCAAGAGATTCTGAAACAAGTTTTTATAAAATAACATTGGCTCAGGAAAAGAAAGGGGAATGGAACAAAGTCAGGTGACAGGCAAAAAGGCTAAAAGAATGGGAGAGAGATAATCATCACATGAATTGGATTAATAGAAAATCCCACTTCACACTACTCACAATACAGAAACCAATTGTTTCTGTTATGTTATTTTCTGTTAATATTTATTTTGTGTAACTAAATAAAAGTAAAGACTCTTGACTGGTACAACTCTTTACCACATATGAAGTACCTCTGACTATGTAATTTTTGTGTTGGTGCAGTGGTTCTCAAACTGTGGGGCACGACCCCCAGGGTGTGCGTGGGTTGGTTGGCAGGGGTGTGTACAAAGGCGTGGCAAGGGGTGGTCTCGCCCCCCGTTGAAATCTGATTCAGGTGCCACTCCAAAGTCACAATGTATGTTTGGCTATTTGCCTTCTCAGAGTCGGGATTTAGGTTATATCAACTGGTTAGTCTGTGATACTAAAGGCTTCTGTTCTTTCTTACATTTCAAACAACTTTTTAATACTAAAGATTGAATTGAGAAGATTTGAATATTTCCACTCTGTTATGTTACTTTTTAAAACAAAAAATAATACAAATAAATAGTAAAAAAAAAAACATTTAAAAGGAATAAAAAAGAAAGTAAAAAATATAATTCCAGTCATCTTTTATACAGTTATCTTTTTTGACATCTTTTAAATATTCTAATAGAAGTAGTTAAAGTAGATATGATTAGTGTAGATAGAAAGCGTTAATTCTTGTTTTTGAATAGATAGAAAGATAGATTGTTTTAGATTGAAAGAGTTTAGAAAGACTGTGTAAATGTAATGGTCTGAAGGGTAAAACAGACAGAAGGCAGGAGGCTTAATGATGGTTGATTTTACGTATTTCACATTCCTCTAGATTTACATTTAAGGAAAAGACAGCTCTTCTATTTTTTAACAGTTTTTTAAAACACATGAAATGGTATAATAATACTTATTTGCTTAATGTTGTAGGGTATAGTTTTTTCTTGTCAAACCCTAAAACAAAAGTGGTCCGGACAAAAAACGAACAAAGAGAGACATAAAATGGGAAAGGAGTAGAGCCAGAAGTGTCTTGAGATTATCAGTTGTGGGAAACAAATAATTTGCCTTTATTATGGGATGAAATCCCTTTGAGTGCTGGTGGAATGGACAGACTTGTTTAGGGCTGACGGGGATGCCACAAATATGTTTTGTTTTTGAGGATTTTGTGGGCTAATTCAGCGATGATTTGGATTTTTTGATTTTTTTTTTGTTGTTAGCTTTTAACAAGAAAAAAACATACAACATACAAGAACATGATCATAAAAAACTAGGGGACTGAACAAAGTCAAATATAATTCTGTTGTACCATGCTGAATCATGATTTGGCATACACAGCTAAACAATGAATATATTCTAAGTTGTGGGAATTATGGTTGAGCATAATTTGAGGGTTATGTACCTATACAAAGGTGAGAACACATTCAACCCAACATTCGTCCAACATGAGCAAAACACCAAGCAACATATAGCAAGCACACAACATCATTTTAACCGGCAGAAACCTTGAGCTGAAGCAGACCTTGAACAGCCATAATCAGGGACTGTGTTGGAAGAGGGTTTTTCAGAAGAAAGAGATGGAAAGAGACAAATTAACATAGCAACAACAACAACAACAACAAATACAACAACAACAATAATAGCTCATACAGACTAATAAAGTACCAATAACAATGGTTCAAGTATGTGTAATATAAGCAGGGACCACATTATGCTAATAGATTGATCAAAGTCCAATAGTTAGCACAGTTTCAAACAGTGGTTGTGAGTATATTTCAAAATGTCCAGCTGTATGTTAAGAGAGTATTAACCATTAGAAAATGATTTAAGGGTAATCATTAATATTTTCATGAGTAAATATTGTACTGAAAAGAAAACAGATTTTGTTTGTTTGTGCTTGACTTGTAGAGGTTAGGGGCATAGAGTGTAAATATTAATGTACCAATCCTGAGTGATGTCACCCAGTTGTTACTGAAGGGAACTTTGGAAGCTATGTTAGAAATCGTGTCTCAACCTAACTTTCAGTCAACCTAACGACAGGCTAAGAGATGAGTTGAATCTTTCTGATGTAAATACTGGCCTTTTGAATGGGGTGTGTATGTGACTTCAGGGTCTCTCGGAGCCAGCATCAAGCAGACACTTGGCAAACTGCAGTTTTTGTATTTAACAGATTTGGCTTCATTTGGAATTTTTCAAGGTTGACGCTTAGTTAGGAGATTGCGATGTCCCCACCTCTGTTCTCTGACAGTATGATGAATGGGCTTTAAAATATGACATCATCTCCCTCCCTCAGCAGAGAGCCCACGTGCTCTCTATTGGTATGATGACTCAGTGGGTTTGCTTCCAGTTACTCTCACATTACCATGTGTCAACTTGCTGTCAGTAGCCTCAGTGTGGGATCAATTAAGGGGGAGTTGATGTCAGGCTGACAAGCGATGGCGAGGGAAAAGTAATGGGAGATGAGAGTTGAACAGTACACTGCATATAAGTGAGGAAACGAAAAACACATTTCTAAGAAGTGGAGAGTGTATGTCTGCCTTCAGTATGCAGTATCAATTCTCCAAAAGATCACATAACAAAGTGTTACAGTTTGTTTAAGAAGTATAATAATATATTTATATAAATATAAATGTATATATATATTTATATAAATGTCTTATTAAATAATATATATTTAATAAGACATTTATATGAAACAACAACAGAATCTATAACCAAATATGAGGTTAGAATGAATGTTTTGACTCTTTACATTAGTTAAATAGCCAAAGTGTGTGTTCAAGAAAGACAAATAGCCACCTCTTGATTTTGTGTGGGCTTACAAAATCCTTCGTCCATTCTGTCCGTAGGTGACAGCAGCCCGCCTGCTCACCTCATGCTGTGGAAATATAATAGAGCAAAGCTTCACAAACAGCCTTTCATTTGGCAAACATTTCCATGACTTCACTGTTATACAGTCTGTTTCAATTTTGAGATGCTTGTTCAACCACTGCAGTCGTTTTCCTTCTATTTGTGAGAGGTAATTTA